ACTGGTGATTATCGGCGTCTGAATGCTAAAAAATTCCCGATCGTTACCCGTTGCCTCACATTCATGATTTGACAGCTACCTTGAAAACCGACTTCGCTAAAGCTTATGACCGAATCTCAATGGCTCATGACGACATTCCGAAAACCGCCATCATCACTCCTTTCGGCCTGTACGAATTTTTACGAATGCCCTTCACTCTAAGGAATGCGTATGCTGATGACTGTCTGATAGCAAGTCGGGACAGAGAATCCCATCTCCAGCATCTGGACGTTGTTTTCGAACGACTCCAAAGGCATAGCGTTACTGTAAACATTCAGAAATGCCAAATCGGAACAAACTCCTTAGATTTCCTAGGACACACTATTAATGCTCAAGGCATCCGACCTCTTAGAAGCAAAGTGTCGGCCATTCTGGGTTACCTAGAACTGACCACGATAAAGCAGTTGCACACATTAAACGGTCTTGTAAGTTTCTATAGACGATTCATACATAAATGTGCATCCCTTATGAAACTGTTAACCGACCAACTTCATGGAAGTGCGAAATAAATTAATCTAAACGACACCGCTCGAAAACCATTCTCCACAGTTAGGGAACTTATCGCTAAGGCAACCATTCTGGCACACCAGGACACTCAAGCGCCCATTAGTATCGCCGTAGACGCATCCGACTCAGCAATCGGAGGAGTCCTACAACAATGGGTTAACAACTCATAGCAACCTTTGGGATTTTTCTCCAGACGGTTGCTAGAAGCGGAATCTAGGTACAGCACTTTCGGTAGGGAACTCCTAGCTATGTATTGTGTTGTACGCCATTTTCAACATTCCACCGAAGAAAGAGAATTCATACTTTTTATCTTCTCTTTGAGCTCATCTCCAGACAAGTATTCATCTCGATAGTCTCAACAACTGGACTAGATTTCGCAGTTTACTTCAGATATATACAACACATTTCTGGAACAAACAATGTAGTTGCAGATGCCTTGTCTCGTATAACTTCCTTGAACAGTTTCCAAGGAATCGACATTCTTAGACTCGCCCAGCTTCAAAAAGAAGACACTGATCTTCAGCACGAGTTATCCTCGACAACTCCAAAACTGCGTGTTGAACAGATGGGAACAGGTAAGGAAACCTTACTTTGTGACACATCTACAGGTAGGGATCATCCAATCGTACCAAAACATTATCGACGCAACGTCTTCAATACGTTGCACAAATCTTCTCATCCAGGTGTTCGTGCATCCATCAAGCTTAAAGCCGAATTTTCTGGTCTGTTATGAATAAAGATGTGAGGGAGTGTGCACGCTCCTGTGTAAGCTGCCAAAAATCTAAGGTAATTAGGCACAAAAATGTCTCTTAGGCTCTTTCAAAACCCCAGATGCTCATTTCGACCATGTTCATCTGGATTTGGTAGGACCCTTACCAGATTCAAATGCATACTCATATCTCTTAACATGCGTAGACCGTTTCACTCGATGGCAGTACCTATTAAGGACAATACTGCTAAAACAGTGACCCGCGCCTTCATCGAACGATGGGTAGTGAATTTCGGCCGCTCTTCAGCCATCACTACAGACCGCAAAGGACAGTTCGAATCTGGAATTTTCCGTTGTCTGACCACACTATTAGGAATCACGCGTTTCCGAACGACCGCCTACCACCTACAAGCAAACGAGTTGGTAGAACGTTTTTACCGACAACTAAAATCTTCGCTATTAGCTGCAAACGTTTCACAATGGACAAACACTCTTCCACCCGTCTTACTAGCCGACATTGGATACACTGCAGCTCAACTCGTTTAAAGGATGACACTTCGACTTCCAGGAGAATTCGTAGATCCTTCATCTTCTTCAATGAAACTGGATCTAAAATCCTACACGAGCAGGCTTACATACTCAACGCTCACATCGACGACCACTCGAATCAGCATACGAAAGACACTTCAAAGTTCTTCAGCCTGAATCCAAGTACTATGTAGTCGATAAGAACTGCACTAACGATAGCATCAGTATCTATCGCCTCAAAGCAGCGTACTTAGAAAGAAATCCTATCTACATCGATTTTCCTTCGGCAAAATCGAACGACACGGCCCCTACACTTGAAGAACCCCACACGACAGCCGACAATCACGATGATACTTCGTCAACGTCTGAAAATAAACTTAAGACAACGCGTTCCGGGAGAAGGGTAAGATTTCCAGAGCATTTAAACGACTATTGCACGTAGGACACAAACTATAACGAATTTCATTGGCATTATTTATTATAAAAACAATTTAATATGCTCATTTATATATCTTTAATCCAAGAAAGAAACAACTGTTTTACTTATAAGCGTATCATGTTCATTATAAAAAAACAAAACAAATAAAAACAATTTTTCAATTGCTTTTACGCTATCGCAAGCGTATTAGTTTATTCAGCTTTCTTCCGCTCACCTTGTGTCTTTACGCAAGTACGAGTGTAATTCAAAATGCACTCACTGGTTATTTTTTTTCTTTTCCAGGACGGCTGGAAAAGAACGATGAGGTTTATAAAGAACTGAGATTTTCAATTGTATTTTGCTTTACGATTACTACAATGTATTTCATGGCTCGTTATAGCAAGGAAAGAGGACCAGACGCTGCTAAACATAGCAAGCTATCAGAAGAGTGTTTACCAACGACAAACTCGTTGGGTTTAAACTTCTGGCTGGGTTATCACTACCTCACTAGGGGGGTGATTTGTAGCGGTAAATAATTCCCCGAAATCAATAGCTCTGTAAGTGTTCGACATTGGATGCTGACCACATTAGTTTTAGTGGACTCGTTTAGCTCGGTCATGCATCCGTACCAGAACACGTTACAGCACAGCGTGGTAAACATCTCCTACGTTCAATAGCCAGATTAGATTAGTCACTCCTCGATATATTGATGACCCATGAAATATATCTTCCAACCTCCTCGCTTCTGACTTCTGATTTTAACTGGGTGGGCGCGATTCGATTATAGGTGTTACTGGTAAAGAGTTATCAAACTACAATAGTGGTGGTATCTTCACTATAGACGTAGCATACATTGACTTCGACAACGCTGTTGACAAAGTTCCCCACAACCGGTTGTTATACAAGTTGAGAAATGTTGGGGTTGGAGGCATTCTATTGGTGTGGATAAAAGACTTCCTAGTTGAGTGACAACAAAGAGTACGTGTGAACTCCAAGTTGTCTATGTGGGAAGCTGTGCTTAGCGGAGAGCCTCAGGGAACGGTTTTGGGGTCAATGTTCTTCTTTTTATGTGTAAATGACCGTCCTCGTTTCCTGTCATCACCGGTCTTGTTATGCGCTGACGATTTCGAAATATAGAGAGTGATAAAAAGTTAAGGTGATAGCTAAGTGCTTAAAACTTGACAATCATCGATAAATACTTCCCAGTGCATTGCGACACATATTGGTCATCAAGTTACTGATACATACATGATGAATAACACTGAGCTACCTGTTGTCCAAACATACTATGGCTTATGAGTCATCGTTAGCCAAAACCTAAAGACTTAAAAAATGTTCTAGAACCCTATGGTCAATTTGTAGGGCTTTTAGTCATGTCGACGCTAAAACGTTTTTGGCTTTGTATACAGTGTTCGTGCGCAGTAAACTTGAGTACAAGCGGCTATTCCTTTCTGGAAAGAGACAGTGAGTTTTTACAAAAGTTCCGGAGAACAGCAACAAAGCTGATTATCGTGAAGATACCACCAGCATTGTGGTTTGACAACTCTTTACCAGTAATACCTGTAGGGTCAGTGAAATGTCACTGAATATCGAACAGATCATCGATCCCTGTCAAGGCCAAGGATAGTCAAAGCGCACCAGTCAATATACGCCATGGACTGGCCCACGCGGCAGTGGTTGTTCTTTCACTTCTGTACTTTCGTGGTTGTACCTTAACTAATATATTCTTGTAATAACGTCCTTTGTGTCGTACAGTCTCCATAGCGTCCATGATCCTTTGATGCGTCGATGGTTCAATCCACGGAAGGGCTGGTCGCGAGGTGTGACTTCAGCGTTAGTTGGTTCGTCACCATTCTCGTCCAACTAAAGTAGGCCCCAATCATTTTGACATAGATCATCAACTTAGATGGTTGTACACACCTATAAACCTACCCTGGTAATATATGCTTATTATCCAGAGTGTGTTGTCACTCAATTAGGAAGTCTTTTATCCACACCAATAGAATGCCTCCAACCCCAACATTTCTCAACTTGTATAACAACCGGTTGTGGGGAACTTTGTCAACAGCGTTGTCGAAGTCAATGTATGCTACGTCTATAGTGAAGATACCACCACTATTGTAGTTTGATAACTCTTTACCAGTAACACCTATAATCGAATCGCGCCCACCCAGTTAAAATCAGAAGTCAGAAGCGAGGAGGTTGGAAGATATATTTCATGGGTCATCAATATATCGAGGAGTGACTAATCTAATCTGGCTATTGAACGTAGGAGATGTTTACCACGCTGTGCTGTAACGTGTTCTGGTACGGATGCATGACCGAGCTAAACGAGTCCACTAAAACTAATGTGGTCAGCATCCAATGTCGAACACTTACAGAGCTATTGATTTCGGGGAATTATTTACAGCTACAATCGGAATAGCGACGCTCCCATATGATGCTCGAATAACTAAACTAAACCTATTCCTGTTGTCATTTTGAAGGACTAGACGGGAATTCATTACAGTTTTCAAATTAGTGATAAATTTGCATCTGATATGCGCTCATTTTTCTTTTCTTCCAAAACAAGGAATTTTTGAGGACACTCCAAAAATGTTCACAAGACCAGAACAAATCACTTGTCAGCTGACTATCAACTTTCTCATCAAATCATCAACGAGTGGGATTCATTACCTCAATACGTGATTGGGCTCCGTCTGTTGATTTTTTCAAAAGAAACTTGGATCAACTGATAGACCATTATTGCCAGGACTAATACAGACCATCAAGCCTCCTGTCCTTTCCAAAGTGAAACCGGGGAGTTTTAAAGTGTGCGTTACTGGTCAGCTGTTTTTATTAGATACATCAGTTTACTTCAGTTCATGCGTTATAGATATTAGTTATGTTTAAACACATCACATACTATTTGAAATCCAGTCGGTAAAATCTGGTCATACTTCAGGAAACCAATAGGGAAATAGCATGAAAATATCCTGGAAAGATATATAAAACATCAGGCAAGATAAAAAGGGGGAAATAAAGGCTGATTTATGGGGGATAATGGGGACAAAAGCACAAAGAAATCTTGAAAATTTCGCCATTTACCTTTGGCAAGCGACAAAGTAGATATGTCGTTGCATGCAACCACATGAAAGGAATTTCTTCAAGTCTGCCCTATTTTATTTAGGAATGTCCTTTTATATCTCTTTTATTTGCTGTTATTTCCCCTTTCTTTGTTTCCTGATGGTTGTTTCGTTACGACTATGTTCAGTTCCCCCCATGGGATAACTCAAAGTACTTTGAGTTCGTCTGCGTTATTTTGGTTGTTTAGTGTTTGTGTTACATAATTTGATGATATCTATGGTCAAGTGTTTCTCAGGCTTAGAGTCAAATCTCTCTAAATGGGTATTTACTACTAACATGAGAGAAGTTGTTTAGTGTTGTTCAAATTCAGTTTTCAGTTTCAGTTTGGAAAGGACAGGAGGCTTGATGGCCTGTGTTAGTCCTGGCAATGATGGTCTCTCAGCTGATCCAACTTTCTTTTAAAGGAGTCGACGGATGGAGCCTCAACCACGTGCCGAGGTAAGGAATTCCAATGAATTCATCGCATTCACAAACGGGTTTCTACAACGATGTCGTTTACCATCAACCACTTTACTTACTTACGCCTGTTACCCCTCTTGGTGGGACATAGACCGCATACCTGTATTCCCCATCCAACCCTATCCGGGGCAATCCTTTCCATTAGTTATACAACTTTTTTATATCTGCTTCTATTTCCAGGCATAATGTGTTCTTTGACCTTCCTCTTTTCCGCTTCCCTCCCGAATTCCAAGTTAGGGCTTGCCTCGTGATGCAGTTTGGTGATTTCCGTAATGTATGTCCGATCCACTTTCAACGTCTTTTCCTAATTTCCTCCAGCTTCAAGCTGGTTTGTCCTCTCCCGTAACAGACTATTGCTGATGGTATCCGGCCAGTGAATGTTGAGTATTTCGTGTAGACAACTGTTTATAAATACTTATACCTTCCTGACGATGGATGTATTAGTTCTTGACGTTTCAGCTCCGTACAATAGGACTGTCTTGACGTTCGTATTGAAAATTCTCACTTTGAAATTAGTTGACAGTTGTTTTGAGTTCCATATGTTCTTCAATTGTAGAAATACTGTCCTTGCTTTGCCAATCCTCGCCTTTACATCTGCATCAATCAGATCCTCTTTGTTTATCAATTATGTTTCCCATGCACGTGAATGTTTCTACATCTTCCAGAGTTTCGCCATCAAGTGTGACTAGGTTGGTGTTCTTCATGTTGTATTTGAGAATCTTGCTTTTTCCTTTGTGTATGTTGAGGCCTATTGATGCAGAGGCTGCTGCTGCATTTGTTGTCTTCGTCTGTATTTGTTCGTATGTATGGGATAGAAGGACTAAGTTATCTGCCAACTCCAAATCGTCTAATTGATTCTGAGATGTCCGTTTTATTCCGTGCTTCCCGTCAGATGTCGAAGTCTTCATAATCCAGTCAATCACCAGAAGAAAGAGGAAGGGGGAGAGTAGACAGCTTTATCTGATTGGACATACTGAATAATCATTATATCTCTTTATGGGATCATAAATAAAAATATGTTGAACCAACTGCTATGAGTTGTAGTGAATTCACTATTGCAGGAATACTTGACCTTATTACAGGTTTCAATTAAAGGCTTCGATAATTTATTCCCAAAATCGTTTGACCATGGTGTAACTTTGTTGATTAAAAACCTAATACTAACATTGTCGGTATACAAAGATGTGACGAGGCCTCATGGACGTTCGATATGGTGTTGGGTTTCTCCAGCTGTTATAACTTATTTTTGTTGAAGTGAAACTTCCAGAGTAATGTATATTACTGACTAAATTTATATAGAAAAGCGCAATTTCTTTTTTTGTTAAGAGTAGCTTTAAAATGTCTTTATTGTGTTGAGAACTTTGTGTTGCTGAATAATGAGATTTATTGCGTTTGATATCCTTTAGTTATCCCTTTGAGGGACACTGAGCATCTTCACCCTATACTACTTTTCTAAACCAAGCTTATTATAACGAGTGGCTTCCAGTATATTGAAAACTGTCTCGGATGTGATAAATAACGTTTACAATTTACATACAGTCTTGTTAATATCAAGTTCTCTCACTCTTTAAGTTTATTCTACGATCTTATTAGGGAAATATATCAAATACTGGGCTCATCGAGGAAAATACTCTCAAGAATTATATCAGGAAGAGTAACAATAGCAAACAATATTGGTTGAAAATACAATATATTCAAATGTAGGGAGACATAGGTATCGTGAGAATTCAAAGCTGGATTGCAACAGAAGGAAACGCGTATCATGTGGGCTGTGTGGGGATATGGATACCATGGTTAGCCGGGCGCCATTAGGAAGTATTTCCACTTAAAGCCAAATGAATGTTCATTTTTTAGGAGCTTTTACGACTTCAGTTAATTGGTGTTCTTACTGTGGTCGTGAATGCCATCAGATGTTATCAGCCAAAAATTCACCCGATTTGATTGCGTCGATATCTAGTTATCTATACATAGTGAATAAAAAAATATTTTTACATAGTCTCTTTGCTTCATACATTGTTGTTATTATTATCTTCTCAGCATACTCAAGCTTTATAAACGCTAAAAGCATTAATTGTACGTCAGAGTAAATTAGGTAATACGTTCTGTTATCCTTCAGTGTCAAGAAGGTATTATTATGCAGACCTAACACTGAGAAGTAAATTATAAAAAAAACCCATACAACATTTTTCACTTATATTCGCACTAGTAAATAAGGATACAACAACGACATTTCAGAACAAATAACCGCTTAATAATAAGGACAACAAATCCGTCTTATACATAGTAATCTTTTAAGTGTTGAAACCTCAGAATTACACTAAAACACATAATCCGTTTGTTTTATGCCAATGGAGTCCCTTATAATTATCAGTAGTGTTGTGTAACATCATCAGTGTTTGGTGTAACAGCAAAACCAACAGAGTTATTTCCCGAATGCGCGTCTTACAACCAACCAATTTTGGTATTTCTGTATGTTTGTATTTTGTGTTGATAGTTTAGTTATTTGACTCAGCTTTGAGTATTATAAGTTCCTTGGTGAGCAGGGTTAAGAGCTTGATCTAAACTAGAGTGACCTGTATACGGTACTACAAAGTAAGTTGGATAAAGAGATCTATTCATTGGAGCACAGTTGACTGGACTCATGATATTTGTAAGCTAGCTTACGTAGGCGATCAACTCCCTGTTAAATGCAAAGGACACGGGATCGACTATTTCTTCTGGAAGTCGTAACAGTATTTAAATTTAGGAACTCTATGTCTTATTCGTTTTAGGTTCTGTGTTATTACAAAGGTTACTACCTTGTTCACTGTTATTCAGTTGTGCTCGTACTGAGCAGGGGTTACGGAGTAACGTTTGAAAATTAATGTTAGATTTTTGACATTACTATACACTCATAGCATCGCTAAAACTCTAAGCAGTTGATTATACGAGTCATATGTTTATCTAATTTGAAATAAAGTTGAGTGAAGACTTTGCATGTTTAAAACATACATTTTCTGCTTTGAAATGCCACTCATAAAGTTTCATTAATCCTCCTTAAGTGACAAACGTCCGCTTGGATCTCTCAAAATCGGTTATCAGAATGTATCTTGATGCCAGAAGTAATCCACGTCTATCTAGAGGTAATAGATATATACGTCAAGCAAATGGGACCACTCATCGTGCCTCTTCTCGTTCAGCAACATCAGTACATACTTACCGGTGTCCAAGTTCAGTAGCAGATAATTTTAACAGTGGATCTGGACATCGTAACCATTATAGACCATGTGACCGCCTTTGCTATCCGTATAGGAGAAATAATCCGTCGATGACTGTCAGTGGCTTTTTAGGCCCCCCTTCAAGAAACTTTGACCACAGAAGAGGTTCTCCATATTCCGGACATGAATTTGATGGCCATCAAATTATTCGGACGCTATCAACCTCTGAGTCTCCAACCAATCCAAACTATTCGGTTGAGTCCACCTACCTAGTTCAAACTGGTTCTTCAGAAAGTGATACTTCCTTGTCTTTTCAACAACGACCAAAAACTACCTTAAAAGTAAATTGTGAGCCTAAAAATCATGATAATTTGAGAAGTGAGTCAATTTTTTTGCGGCTTCTTTATAAAAAGAAACGTGATACATTATTGGCATCAAGAGATATATCAAAAAATTTATTTATTTATTTAAATATTGGTACAAGGAAGCACGAGATATATATGCGCCATACAAATCTCATTCGATTTGCTTGAGGGCTGTGATACTGCTCAGGTGCCCGAACTGAAGCAGGTGGTTTTCTTAGGGGCCCACACCCGGAGCCTTTCACCGAAAGGTCTGATCCACAAGACAGTGGAGCATCGTGAGGAGATGCAGTCCCATAGTAGCCGGTGACCAGCGATTGGTTCATACGCCATTTGTTCCTTCAGGATACTGGAGCCAGCCCATGTGCACCATTGGTTTGGAACCAGGGTTTTCCAACTCCCCTAGGTGGACCAGCCATGTCCACCAACCCGGTTAAAGCGCCGAACATTCGCTTTTCGTCCTCTCACTTTTGTGAACAACACCGCCGCTACGAGAAGGCAGTGAGTAGGACTTCTCTGGCAGAGGCTATATATTCGCTGGCCATGTGAGAGCATTTGGAGAGGGAGAGCGGACTCTCCCCACTCTCGGTCGTACCAGGGCATTTGGGGGCATCATAAAAAAAAGATAAAACGGATTCTAAAGAAATAACTCACGAAATAAATAATAAACAACCGAATAACCAAAACAGAAACAGTCAAAAAATATATTTAGGGAGCACCTTTCTTATTTCTTTTCACAATTGTTCATTTATAGGGCGGAAAAATGTTGCAGATTATTTATTGGTTTTGGTTTAAATTACATCTGAACACATTCTTACCTAATTGTCCTTCCAATTGGTGTTCTGTGTACATCTGGTTTGATACCCTGTAATATTGACTTCGCTGTAACTCTATTAGGTAAAAGCAAAGTAGGCCTAACTGACCAGATCCTCATTGAGGAAAACTTCTGTAATACTAGACTGGAATTATCAATCGAAGTAACTTATTATATTCAACTATATCTTCGCTCCAATGAACTATAGCTTGCTTACAATGGTCGATAAGTTCTACGACTAAATAAATGGTCTTACCAAAGAGGCACGTAAAGTTTGTATTATGATTCTGTCTTTGGATTTAAATGATCATATTGGTGATCTAGGTATAAAAACCAGTTTTCAGATGAAGCCACAAATATGTTGATCAAATTTTTACTATTATTGCATGTCTGGGACATCAACAAATGTAATAACATCCAATGGTGGCACCGTTGTTGGTAACTGAAGGGAACATTGGATCCCATCATCAATTGAGAGGTTTTTTCACAATGAAATATCTTTTGATGTCGCTGAACTTAAACGCATACGGATGAGACATGGCTTCTGGGCAAATGTAATCTGAAGTGTTTACATAATGTAGTGTTTCTCGGGACTTTTCACTACCCCCATTTTTATCACATATCGTTATGTATATGCCCAAGGGCAATAATTTTCTTGGAGAATTTATTGTTGGTTTTCAACACACAGTATCAGTCACCTCGTTTATCTTTAGTACTCCATAAATGGTTAGTTTGTATGGAATGTAATTTCTACGTATATGGGAGTAACTCCCATAATTTTGCCTTGTCACACTTATAGTTTAGATGAGACGCTCTCATTCTTATCAAGAACAATGGATACTATTCAGCGTTTGTGTCTAGGTAATTTTTGTTCATAGTGAAATAAACCGATCGGTAATGCTAGGTTTAAACATAAAGTCCCTGGTTAAATTGTAAATACGTGCGACTGAAACGACTCCGGCGCTCTAGTTGGCACATAAATAGACTTAACTGGCGATAAAACCAAAATACGATATCAGTATATGAAATCATTAATTTGAGTAAAACGTGCTGGGAAATGAACACTACTTTATAGTTTAAAACGATGTTATATAGCTCGAAGGGAGTTGCAGTGTAGCAAATTTATCCACTCCTTATCTTCATTTAGGTGTTGAACACTTGTGTTATATTCTACTAATCTTTCTATTTTATTATCTTTTTGCGCGATATTTTCAATGTTTAGTTTTATACCAGTGTCATTCCGATTTCTTTGAGTTTTGTCTTTTTAATTTCTGTAAAAATATCCTCATATTAGTTGTCGCAACCTCAACTGATAAACACTTTTACCAGGTTTAATGCTGTGTATAACTGACTAATTAAAAATTGTAACCATGCCACTATGTTAGAATGTGAGTGCCAGCTAAATTTTCCATTCGTGTTGTACTTAACGAAGAGTTGGTGGGGTGATCGATTTATTATTTAACGCAAAATTACCGAGTTCTTCCTTAAAATATGAACACCATACATAAAATACTTCATTTACAAATCTTTTGTCAATTGTTTTTTACATCCTTTATGATTCTTTTGATTATCGTTTTCTTTCTGTTTCCCTTTCTGTTTTATTCAGTTCAATATTCTCAACCTATTTTTGACAGGCATTCCACTTCTGATTGGTGTTACATACTACTTATGTTTGTCGACATAAGTAGCATGTACCGCAGTGCTACCGAATTTCCTAACAGTGATAGTGACGGAGTTCTTTCTAGTACAAGGAAAGCTTCATGGTCACCTGGTCTCCAAGGTGCTTTGATAGAGTTCAAGCATATACTTGTAAATTTCACACATTTACAAGTGTAACTTACTTTCCTCGGTCACTACGTTAACAAAAAGTGAAGCTTTAGTAAAGGAGGTGTTTCACAAACAGCATCAGACTAAATTTTACGACTAGGAATTATGATAGTAATTAGTCTTTCTTATTACTCCTGTCAAAGGATAGTATTTCCTATCTGTTTGTATATCAAAATCAAAACGAATTCCTTACTAAAGGTTAGACTTAAAAGTCAACTTTTTAAACCACACAATGAATACACTCATTTAAGCACTATTGATTTATAGACTATCCCGTCCTTCCTAATTTAATAACTGTTAGCAGTTGCGTATATATAAATAATGACTCATTATACGTAGACGTTCATCCCTAATTACGATTGCTAATGATAGTTCGACTCATTTACATTGTATACATCAATTTAATAAGCTCGAGTGAGCATATGTTGAATGATAGTAAATAATACTGTGTTTTACTCATAACCGTACAGTTTGGAAAAGTTATGCTACTTGGAATACCATTGTTCGTATAGTGACCTCCTTTATATTCATAATTGGCCAAAGTATACCTCTTGTTTTGGTAGGATTTAAATATTTTGTGATGTGTTCACTTTAACAAAATGGATATAAACTAGGTGGTTCCTACAAATTTCTCGTGTTTCTTTTGTTGACTAATGTTATTCTCAGTCATTAGAAGTTAATTAGACATATATTTTAAGTTGTTTCCGTCCTTTTTTGAGTGCTTACGTTTTATAACGATATTTATGATATCTATTGGTCAGGTAACCTTATCGATGGATTGCGCAACAGCACATATCAGTGTATGATATGCATTTCAGAAATTCGTGTTACTGACCCAATATGGTCATGTGCTACGTGTTATCATATTTACCACCTATCATGTATTAGGTCTTGGGCCAAAAAATCATTCCAAGAACATAACATCGAATCTGATTCATCTCCCGTTTGGCGTTGTCCATCTTGTCAGACAACTTATGACTTGTCTCCCCAACTAATTTCTTATCGATGCTTTTGTGGACGCACTAAAAATCCTGAATTTCACCCTGCTCGTATGACAATACCACATGGTTGTGACCAGGTTTGCAATAAAGTGAAACGTATAACTTCTGAATCCAGTTTGTCTGATTATCAGTGCACTCACCTTTGCACAGAGTGAGTTTAAAAATACTCAAACTTATGTATTGTAACATTTTATGTTAAGTAATTTTGGTTAAATGAACAGCATCTCTTTATAAGCGTATTTCTATTTTAACTTCGATTTTATTGAATATTGTGAACAGTTAGGTTTGCGAAGTTATTTAAAACTTTCTGGTTATGTTCAGTTTGCTATGTATTATTTGTGGTCATGACTTTAAATCGTATATCTACTTTATTTAGAAGCAAAAAGTACTTCTGACCACTTATCTAGTTTTTATGTGTTCTGAATGAAATTCGAGGACGTTGGGGTTTGTGTGGTCTATCGTTCGTGTATGTGTGTATGGGAGGAGGGTTAATGGATTCATAGTTTGTTATACAGCCAAAAATAATAAATTATACGTTTATGTAATTCATACACAATATTTTGACCGATATTGAGCAACATTAAAATAAAATTTTTAGTCATTGATCTTGAACACTTCATAAACACCAACACAGGAGCTCTTACCGACGTACACAAACTATTACTGACAATGAATGTTTTTCGAAAGAATGTTGATTAATTTTTTAGTTTTGGATCTCCGTTGATAGTTCGATCTTTATTTAGTAAAAGGTTTAATTAAAACTCAAACAGGAAATGTTTATTACTGGTGCCACTGTGGTATAGCTGTCAAAGTATGGTGATGACAAATAGAAACTCGGAATCAGATATAAGTTGCTAAATACACATGATTTTCCAACAGTTATAGTTAGAATCTCACATTTCTGTTACATCTTTTTCCCATTTTACCTATCGAAATAAATATTCACAATTAAGCAAAATTAGTTCATAAACAACCAAATTCGGTTATTTATTCTCTGAAGAAGTGGCTTACACTGAGTTACGAAACGTCAGAAAATCTAATTTTTCTACTCATTGGGATATTACAAATATACTATTTATTCATAGAATTAATGTCGAAAATAAAACTTCATTATAATCTATTTTCATTCCTATAGACTTTGTCATCCAGGTCCATGCCCTCCATGTTTAGCAACCATCACTTTGAGTTGCCCATGTGGAAAATCTCAACGTTCTGCTACTTGTGGTGATCCTAATCTTCAACCATGTGGTCAAATATGTAAACGTCAACTTTCATTTAACTGCGCAACTGGTTTCCATACATGTTTATCAACTTGTCATTATGGCTCCTGTAATCCTTGTCAGTGGATAATTGAAACAGGTACAATATATTATATTTTGTATTGACCGTTTTATCCTATGAACTATCTACATAAAAAAAAGTTGTTTCGTTTCACATTTCAGTTATTTGTAATAGTATCTAAATTCTAAATTACTATTGAATATAATTGTTCACCTTGCCGATTATATGAGTTTTGCTTATAAAGATTTAATATTATTAAATCTTATATCAGAACTTTCGTCTAATTTAGAGCGAATAGTTTCACAGTATTCGGGCGCCGATTTGATGTAAGACATTAAAATAGGAATAATATATTTGTAAAATCTCAGCGAATGAATTTGAAGTAAATCCAACGTTTCACCTGGCAATCTGGTCCAAGTTTTTTCAAGGAAATATAGTGGAATTCGGCTCAACGGAGGAAGCCATTCATATCTTTCTAGATAATCGATAATGAAATTTTAATCATTTCCATACAGATTTAACGTATATCCTACTTTCTGTAGTAATATTTCTTGAGGAACAAAATAAAAAAGCAAAATTTTCAGTAAAACCTCCGGGTTAGTAAACAAATCGTATTTATTTATTCCCTTGATTGTAAGCTTCCTTTTGACTTCTAAGGTATTGTTTTGTGTTATCGTCCTTAAACTGTTATTTACTAGTTATGGGCCTATTACTTAATTTCGTATCTCTTATGTCTTGGTCATGTATGTATTTTGAATTTTTATGTGGGATACCGTAAGTTAGATAATCAATGTTTATAAGTCTATGAGTTTTTGAGTCGTGATGAATAAAGAATAAAAGACATTTAGGTCCTTTTACTATCTTTGTTTTCTGATTGTACTGTGAGCTAGAATGAGCTTGTGGGCCAATAGAGATTACGTACATCTCGTCGTTTGTCGTAGTAATTAAGCTATTAGTCAAAAAGTGAATAATCCGATATTCATTAAGTCAACTAGTTACATTAACGGTCTCTATAATCCGCCGATTCCTATCTTCAGGTAACCCGTTCACTTGGACAGTAATAAGAAACTCAATTTCTACATTTGAATTGAATTTCAATGCTTTTTTTCTTTGTGTGTAGTTTATTTTTAATACATTTTTGTGTTGCTTGATTGAATTAAGTTCATCCAGCTGACGAGTCCCAAATAGGACGTAACACGTGTCCTGGATTCCACTACTGCTAACAACTATTCGTCTTTGCTCATAATGATTTATTTATTTTTCTTTTTTAATAGCTTGTTTTTGTGGTCAGGATAATAATGTAAAGTTGATTTGTGGCAGTAATGAAATACGAAAATGCACTTTTTCTACGAAAGATTTACAAACTTTACGTACAAATTTTGTGGAATTTCAAAGTAAAATGACCAGTAACAATTATTCTGATATTTTAAAACTTCAGCAAATATCAATTACTGATGATTTATCATTATGTGCTAATGATGATTTAAATAGTAGTTTATCCTCTCAATTATCCAAACATGATAGCCATAATACGGATTCGACTAGAATAGTTGATGATAATAATGAACAGATTACTTCATCTAGTTTGCTATCGGTTAAAATTGGTCCTTCTTTCTCATGTAATCGTGTGTGTGATCGTCAGTTAAGTTGCAAAAATCATAAGTGTTCAAATTTTTGTCATTCTGGAGAATGTCCACCGTGTGCACTTGATCCGGCATGGTGTTTAACTTGTCCTTGTGGAAAAACACCCCTCACTAAATTGGTTAGTTTATATTAGTGTAGTTTAAATGCTTGATATTTACTATGTGTAGTTATTATTATTTCCTTGGTTTACAAAAAATTTGATTCACTTGTCAGTCTAATCAATAAAATTTAACTAGTCGGTTAGTGGGGCGGTAGCTTTTTGTAGTTAAGGCGTTTAAATTTCAGCAATTAAGTCTCACGTTTGAAACCCGTTCCACCTACTTTGATCGATCGATATCATTAGCTCTCACACTTACGGTGTAGCTCATACTTAAATAACTAGAGAGTTAGTTAATCTAATTCAATTAAAGTTTAATTATTGATTCGTTATGAGTTCATAAAACGTTAAATACCTTTTATCCTCATCCATAGCTATATAATGTCGTTGTTATCGAAATGAGTTTATCATTTACAATACAGATTACTTGTCTTAATTGTCTGTGCAGAGAATTGTGTCAACCTTGTTACGTGTGTCATCAATTGAATATTAACTTAACTAAATAACATTTATTTGATATTATCTAGAAGCGGATCAGGTCGTAATATACCTAAAAATAAACAAAACCAAAGAGCATTATCTCAAGTAATCAATTACTGTTAATACTAGTCGTATACGATTTTCTTCAATGTATGATTGACGGCCCTAAGTAATGTAGACCAACATAGATAATAATAGGGAAGATACCTTACTCCTTTAATCTTTGCTAATTTTACTACTTATTTATTCCTCCGTCTATTTATGTTCATTTTTAATTCATTTTATTTTCTCGTTTCTTTTGATAATCTTTCGTTGTCATATTACTATGTGTAACAGCATTAACTAGCGTATGCTATTATCCTGAGTTTCTGTTTGCCCACTCTTCTAGTATAGCAGTAGTGTAGTGAACGAAGACATAGGTAAGATAAACCGATTTATTATTCTATGCAAAATGTGATAATCATACATCAAGTACATTATTTACACATCTTCCTTCAGTTGTCCTTCCTAATTCTTCCAATTTTGTTGTTATTCCATTTGCTCTTTGTTTTCCTTTCTATTCTCTTCATTTCACTCTTCTGCTTGCAGGCATTCCACTTCCAACTGCTATTGCATACTACTTATATCTGTCAACGCAAGTAGCACACACCACAGTAGTAGTAGTTTTGTTATTAAGCGCTAAACGGTAATTGTTAAGTTTGACTTGAATCAATATTTCTAACATGTTCAAGTGGTGGTTTAGTTTTTGTAAAATTTACCTTATATCTACAATAAATCCTTGGGAAATATATTTGAATGTTTATTGTACCTTTCTTACTGTTGTAACATATATCTAATATTTATTTGGTTACAGAAAAATTAGATCATTTTTTTACATTTATAGGTATCCACAGGTTGTTTATACGGAAATCGACAATCTTGTACGGATCCTTTACCTACTTGTCCTAATATCTGTGGACGTCCTAGACCACTATGTGGTCATACATGTTCAGAATATTGTCATATTGGCCCTTGTCCTCCATGTAAATTATCTATTTCGTTAAAATGTCGTTGTGGACAAAGTTCAAAAGTAATAACATGTCAAGAATTCTCTAAATTATCAGATAAAGAAGGTATTCATTTATATTTTCTATTTTAAGCAGTAATACATTTTATTGATTGACTTTTTAGTATTTAATCCGTCGTGTTCATTTTGGTCTATCATTCAAATGTACTTTTAAGTGAACATATCCTAATTCATAAATAATATATTTGTAATATCCCAATGAGTAGAAAAATGAGATTTTCTGACGTTTCGTAACTCAGTGTAGACCACTTCTTCAGAGAATTAATAAACGAATAAACATTAATTCAAGTTTAAATAGTACAACGGAACAACCCGAATATTAGGTGAGATCAATCACATATACACATACACACACAAATTCACATACATGTCGCTTATGAATCACCTTGACCGAAATCACATGACATGGATTTATTCAGACCTGTTTTTTGACTGATCGCACCTAATATTCGGGTTGTTCCATTGTACTATTTAAACTTGGATTAGTGTTGATTTGGTTATTTATTCTCTGAAGAAGCGGCTTACACTGAGTCACGACACGTCAGAAAATCTAATTTTTCTTCTCATTGGGATATTACAAATATATTATTTATTTATAACAATTTACCCAATGCTCAATTTATTCGAAATTATCAAATCAAAACTTGGTAATGATACCTACATATTTTAATTCAATTCTTCAGGAATTGATGCTAGCCGATAAACTGTTGTAAACCAGTGAAAACACTGGTCACTTGTTTTACCACAGTTTTAAACTTTTTGATAGTACACATCTACGATCCAGTGTATAATCGAACCGAGAACATGTTGGTCTTACTTCAAACATGACAACTGTAAACCATTGAATCCCATATTGGTTCACATTTCTCACTTCGATCAATTGGTAATGTGACACAGTGTTCATTTTATGTCATTTATGAGAAATACCTCATTCTTGACATTATTAACCAATAATCCTACGGGTTCTTATAAAATCATCAAGAGATCATCTGTAGTGTCCTTGTTAGTGTGTACTCTTTTTCAACTTCTAATCATCTATCTAAACATCGTCATATTTTGCAGTTTTTCTTTAATAACTTATAAATAAAGATTTAAGTTCACTTAGTATTACTTGTTTGAATCTCCCCATTGATGTTTAGGACTGCAACTCGTCAGTCTCCAACTGACGAGTCCCAAATAGGACAAAACGCGCGTCCTAGATTCCACTGCTAGCCACTATTCATCATTGCTTATAAATAATGATTTGTTTTAAGTCTTTTTTTTTAAAAAATTCATACAGATCATTGAAAATATTCCATTCAGGGTTTTCGTACTTAAATAACTCATTAATGTATCTTAATTTAAAGACATTTATTGTCTTTCACAATTATCCACTTGAGTATAATTGTATAAAGTTTATTGTGAAGGTAATTATATATATATCTAGTCTATGTAATGATTTGTGCAGATAAGCTTCTTGAGAAATGAACTGTACTTAATGTGTTTCACTTTTTACTTAACGATTATTCAAACATACATGAACGGTTACTATTTATAGGTATCATTACCAAGTCTTGATTTGATAATTTTGAATAAATTGAGCATTGGGTAGATTGTTATAAATAAATAATATATTTGTAACTATTTGTTACTATTTATGATCGTCAGTCGGTTTTCACAGCCAAATGTTATTTTAAGAAAAAAACAACCATACAAATTCAGTGGTACATGGTGACTAGACTTGCAAATAGATCGATAGTTACCTTTTATATCCGAAAAAAATTATACAAAAGTCGATTGTAATATTGTGTTCATTTCCAAGTTATTGTAAAATATATCGTTGAAATTTTTATAGGTGTTCCTGAACTCTGTTGTCAACGTGTATGTAAGAAGAAATTAATTTGTGGTCGACATAAATGCAAAACATTATGTTGTAATGTAAGTTTTAAATTAAGTAAGTTCATTATGTAACATTTCCTCATGTTTATAATGATAACTCGATAGGTATTTATTTACGTAATGATCACTGAGTAATACTCAATGTTATGTCTGTTTAGTCTTTCGTGTTGATCGAATTCCATTGACAAATTTGCAATGTAGCCACCAGTCTGATTGACTTGATATTAAGTACACTACGTTCTAACGTTAATTGGTTGTATGTAGTTGGCAGGAAAACCTGGATCTTGATTTCGTGCAAGTTGGTATACTTCAGCAATGGGTACATGCTATTTTGAGGGAAGTGATGCTACCTGGTAGACCTGAACCGTGGTCACCCAGTTTCTAAACATATAAAGTTATCACTGAGCTATTCAGAACACGACTGACTGCCAACAGAACTGAAACATCTGCACTAATTGATCACTGGTTGATGACCATTTTGTGTTTTAGCGCTGATCGAGTTCTATCTATCAAGTCACAATGTTATCACTGGTATCAGTAACTCGTTTTTGCATGCGATGTGTACTGATATTAGATGGTTGGATGTAGCTGAGGGCAGTTGGAACTAGAAAAGTTCAGTGTTAATTTCTGTGACAGGTTGGATGACTCTTATTTGAATCCTCCAGATGGCATTAGTTCCGTCAAGATTTCAGGGACATCGTACTGACGAGTGTCAAATAGCATGAAACCTAGGTCCAGAGTTTCCTGTCGTCTGCCTCCAACCAATTAAAAGGTATTTGCTACTTACTACAACGAAGCATTTTTTTCTCTGAACTAAATAGCTTCTTCAGTAACTCTATAGCTTTAAGTTTTTTCTTAATTCTAAGCACGAATTAACGAATTTTCAGTTGCATTAGTATAAACTGAATTATCCACCGTTGATTAAGAGATTTTAGCAATTTGATCATTTATGATGTGTTAGATTATTGTAACGTTCCTGGAAAGGTGTACAGACGCTTGTACCTGTTAACTGTAAAAGACTTTATTCTTGAATTTATATAAAGACTAGTTGATACAAAAAGCATTTATTTTTTCAGTATAACTAAGTTGAGAAAAATAGAAATAAATTTGTTATTCAGTCAGGTAATGGCTAAAATATTTAACTCTCAACGAGTAAGTCACACATTCGAATTCTACTCCACCTATTTCGGTTAGTGCAACCGGTTTATATAACTAACACTTACCTGAATAGTTGTGGCCATAATTGTGTGCGTAAATATGTACTTGGTGCATAATCTATAAAAAGTTATGGTATGAATAGAATAGTTTACGTAAATTTATACTTGGATGTTTACAAATTTATGTTAAATGATTGTTAACTTATAACACGTAAAAAGCTGCAGGCTACTTCAACTTAGTTTTTTGTGTGGACATATACCAGTGTCTTTTTTAAAGATAGTAATACTGATAAAAAGCATACGGTTCCTGTCCTCACTGTCGTTTATATCATAACTCTGTATCCTTTTGCACAATGATGTCATCCGATTATTGGCAGTTGGTTAAATAGGGTTTATCTACGAAGTTAGCTTTATGGTTTTATATGACAGTCAATACTCGTAGCGTTTTCGTGATCATTTTGCCTGTTATATCTGTAAAGAAGTGAATGGTTGTTTCCAAAATAATAGGTTAAAACTTTGTTTACCATCACCATGTATTTTTTCTAGTTGTAGTACGTAAATAGGTATCTATGAAAGTGGAACTTTAACTAATGAAATCATCTTCACATTATTAGAGCATTCGACTGAAGAGAAAAATTAAAAATGTTGAGTAGCAGCTGTCTAATACTCAAGTACGAGTGTTCTGTAGGCACATTCTTATGGTTTAAAGGTTTTAAGCGAACTTGGATATCTCCATTGGGTGGATATCGACTAACGACATATCTACACGTTAAACAATTTCAAAATACTGTTTTCATTTCAGTTGTTGTCATCAATTTCCACCGTTTATGAATTTTAGGATACTATGCACTCATGCCCTGAAATCTGTGGCCGTCGATTATCTTGCCAATTACATTATTGTGAAGAACAGTGTCATTCAGGCCCATGCAATTCTTGTTGGCGTGGTGTGATTTATTCAGAACTAGTATGCCGTTGTGGTCACACTATACTGCATCCCCCTCAGCCCTGTGGATCTAGTGCACCTGAATGTAATCAACCTTGTAGTCTCGCGCATAATTGTGATCATCCAGTTAAACATACATGTCATATGGAACCTAAGTGCCCACCTTGTACAGTCATAATGGATAAAGTTTGTCCAGGAGGTAAGCGTAATTACCACTGCTTTTGATTGGTATTAATATTTTCAACTGTTAACTTTCCTTATTGACTACTGAGTAAATAGATTAAACCTTTTTCATAAACTTAATAAGATGTTGAATTATTCATGATTTTTATTGATGATGTTGAAGGCTTTGTTTTAGTTTTATATATCCTTTATTTCAAGTTCACACGTCTTCGGTTGATAGTTTCGTTTAGTAACTCATTGAGTTGGCGAAGATTGTGTTATTATATAAGCTGTCGATAGATCAATGGACGAAATATAAGACGGAAAAGGTAACCTGAATGGGAACATATCGGTTTCTTTATTACTGACTGAAGATTAATCTTATAACCTGTAAAGGCGCTGAAAAAATATATTTGTTGAAACATTGTGTGTCCTATATTTCACTATCAGAAGACTTGGATGCCAGCTCAGTGGTGTATCGGTTAAGGGCTCTGGCTCGAGACTGGTAGGTCCTGGGTTCGAATCTCGCGAGAGCGGATTCGTGGATGCGCACTGCTGAGGAGTCCCATAATAGGACGAAACGGCCGTCCATTGCTTCCAGGTTTTCCACGGTGGTCTGGCTTCAATTGACTCATGATCTTAACTATAAAACTTTCATATTTGTTTAAGTGTTTTGAATTTACGTATACTTTTATTCCTTTTAATATTTGAATAGCAGTCCCAACTATCGGATTTTTACTACCTTTCATAAAACTTATCAAATTATTCCTTTTAATATTTTAATAGCAGTCCCAACTATCGGATTTTTACTACCTTTCATAAAACTTATCAAATATATAAACATTGTAATAACTTTCATCTTCAAGTGTTAACCCACTCTTTGCCTCATAGTATTGTAGGGGCACTTTGAATGAGAATAATGCGAGTTACCATCTCGTTTACTAAGATTAATCATAAACAAGATGAATCTCTCTTGATCTAAGGTGATTTTCGCTGTTCAAAAATGTATATTGTCTTATTTCTTCCAAACTTCTAACTAGTTATTTTCCTACTGCTCCATAATATCTAGCTACACCGAAACTGCATGTGTTGTCTAACTTTACGGCCTTTAACGTAAGTGCTTTTCTGTGGTTCCTAAGCGGCTGACACCTTTCGTCTTTGTGTCGTACCACAAAGGGCCAATAAGTAGCATACAACTCCTTTTAGAAAAGACTTTTCCACTTCATATATACTTAACAAGAGACTTGGTGCCACCATTTCGTAGAATTGAAGATAATAGGATCTCGCTCTTTAAATTCAAGAGCTAAAAAGCTAAAAAGAAATTAATTATAAATATGTTCAATTAATACTAGCCTAAATATGTGTTTTATTTCTTATATAACAAAAGCAATTTGATTTGAATTGATCCTACCACTGGTAATTTGTTGATTAGATTAATACATCGAACACTAAACTGGATTGCGTGGACTTGGACAATTAGAGTCTGAACTACTATCGAGATTAAAATTAAATTAAAACAGTAGTTTATTCACACAAAGCATAAAGCAATCAACAATAAAATCAGTCTGGAATCAGTTTTACATGTAAAACAGTCATTTATATTTAGTATAGCTGGATATATATATTTTCGCTCATTAGGCATCCACATATTACTTTCTTCGGCTCATCAATTTCCATTTGGTTTATACTCAATATTAAAGTGTTTATTTTCCTAAAGAGCTTTTCATTGTTCAGGAATTTTGTCATCTTTAGGTTGTTTTGAGGTTCTTATTTATCACTCTCTTAAAGCCACGTGTTAATTCGGCTTGTGGCTACATCTCAGATACAGTTACTAAAGCTTTCAATGAAGGATTACTGATAATAATCTGTCAACTTGTCATTTTTAAAGCTGTTTCGTAATCACTTATCTGAAGCCTTTATAGAGTCAGTATGGGACTAAGCACATCATTATTTTCTGCTACACCACAGATGCCTTAGAAATATTGCTCGCATCTGCTGGGATAACCGGGTAAGTAATAGCGAGGTTAGACGCAGGGTATTAGGGAATGATGGTAAATCAGTTGATGGGGTCATGAATCTTCATCAACTGAGATGGTTGGGCCACGTGTTACGTATGCCTGAACACCGATTACCACGACGCTCTATGATGACTAGTATTGGGGATGGTTGGAAGAGATTTAGGGGCGGCCAAACCAAAACATGGCATCAGTGCTTGAAGTCACTAACTTCTAATCTGAGCCATGTTGGTAGATGCAGACTACCTGGTTGGGGTCCACGTGACTATCGTAACCAATGGTTGGAGACTCTAGGTGACATGGCTCAGAATCGATCACAATGGAGTAGGTGTATACGCTCTTTATCTTCCCTTAAACCTTGAGATTAAAATTGCTTCATAACTTTCTTCCTTCCTGTACTATATCCTAATATACAACCTATAATTCATATACTACCACCACCACCACTAAATTAACTACTATGAATCCGGTGTTGATCTTGTTGTGCTAACGAGGTATGGCAACTTGGACCGATGCATATATGTGCCTGGTCCTACGTTGTAGCTGACTGACTGACTGCTACACTTATGAATTGTATTGTTTGAGTATAATCATACATTCGTCTTGTCCCCAGACGGTTTACTCTTTCAAGTCGATACATCTGATATATATCATGAGATAATAGCAAGACTATAATTTATGTATGAACCAATCAGATATAAGAAAACAGGTCTTGGATTTTGGCGCGAAATTCATTCATTCATTTAGCTCAATTCGTGTGGAAAACCTTAAATCTAATTTCTAACCTTAATGTTTAACTGTAAATCATAATTGTATCTCCTCAAATAGTTTTATAACCTTCATTTTAGTTTTAATTATTAGATGGATATTCTCAAAGTTACTTTAGTATTACTCAAACATCGTTTACAAATTATAATCTCACCTTTTATCATAGTAAAATCATCTGTGAAATCGATTAAATCAATTATGTGTATTAAATCATTTTTTTGTTTGTTTTTCAATCCAACTAATCTATAGAAAAAGAAAACAAAATGTCTTAAATGAATATTATCAGAAGGGGTTTTGTGGATATTATAGTAATTTTATATAGTTGAAATCATGAGTCGATTGAAGCTAGACCACTATAGAAAACCTGTAAACACTGGATGGTCATTTCACAATAGAATGAAATGGCCATCCAGTGTTTCTAGGTTTTCCATGGTGGTTTAGCTTTAATTGATTTTATGATCTCAACTATTAAAATTAAATCAATATCTCATTGATTTTTATACCAATTAGTTATTTATTTATATAAACTTACATAAACTAATTAAAAGCGATAATGGTAATTTTTATGTTGTTGTAGAATTACATTTTATATACTAATTATAACTTAAATGATACTTTCTAATTTACATATTAAGTTTAAGTATCTTGTGTACATTAAGTAACATTAAGCTGATTACAATAAAATATTAAGTGTTTATAACATATTTCATAGGGTTGAAATCATGAGTCAATTGAATCTAGACCACTATGGAAAACCTGGAAGCATTGGACGGCCGTTACTGAAATCTCCGCAAAACCCCTTTTGATAATAATCCTATGCTCACTAGTGACTGACTTCAAGAGATATTTCCTTGAGTTCTAGTGAGAAGCAGTGACCAGTGGAGTTCAACTAGATCTGTTGTGAGATATTAACTCACTGAAGACATTGGTGAATGGTTGCTCATTTTCGTGGATTGGCTGAAGTTAGACATTTACACCGTTGGATGCTGACCAGCTTAGTGATATAGTGGTTAAACGCTCGTGCGCGAGACTAATAGGTCCTGGGTTCGAATCGCGCGAGGCGGGATCGTGAATGCGCACTGCTGAGGAGTCCCACAATAGGACGAAACGGCCGTCTAGTGTTTTCTCATTTTCCATAGTGGTCTAGCTTCAATTGGCTCATGATTTCAACTATATAAAATTACTAAAATCTCCACAAAACCCCCTTCTAATAATGTTTATAATATATATTGATTTTCTTGGATATCAAAGAGAGTGAGTATATTCTTCATCAGTCTTCTGTACACTGTTTGACAACTACCAAAAAAATATTATTATTATTATTATTATTATTATTATTATTATTATTATTATTAGCTTTATTCAATATTATATTTTTGGTACAATATAGAATTCTCAGCACAAATTATTTCAACAAGTTTCTGTTCCTCATTTCTTGATTGATTTTGACCGTTAAATATTCAATGATCAACAGTTCGATATTAGCTATTCAGCAATCGTCATCTGAATAATGTTCATTCTTTTCGATGTATATTTCAAGCCACCATCACGTCGCTGAATGTACATTTTTGTAATTTGTACAGCGAAAGGTCATAAACTTTTCATAAGCGCACCTGAATAGGTTATGCGATTAATAGCCATGATGATGTATTAAGACAAACAAAATTACATAACTTGTTGAAATACTTAGATGACAGTAACAGGTAGCCCAGATGTTCAAGCAGGCCGGCTATGAAAACACAGAATAGATGAAAGTTTTAAATGTTTGATTATTATCGATATCTTTGAAGCATTATTCATATGCTGTGAAACTACCAAATGATTAATGTTGAGGTTACGTGTGTGATTTCAAATAGAAATGATTAGTTCAATGATTAATCTGTAAACATTCATCAAAGTACAGGGAGTTGAGATAAATTTTCGTAGGAATACACTGAGGGGAGGGTAAGAAGAGTTAGGTTAAACAGGGTACTAGAATATGGAATTGGTGAATGTTTTGAGAGTTATAAAATATTCGTTATGATATACAGTTCAAAATCAGTTGAAATAGCACAGTTAAATTTACACTTGATTATTCCTTTAATTTTCATTTTGGTGTCACTTTGTTTGATCTCACTCGTTTTGTTTGAAATGTCTTTTTTCATGACTGACTTTTCACAATAGTCAGTATCCTTTCTCATCTTCTTTTATTTTTTTTCTCGTTTTACCGAACCGCTGACCGGGACCAATATATATTTTTGTCAAGTCATTAATTATCCATTCCCGCCTGACTTTTGACTGATTTTCATCTCTTGATTTTTGAAATATTGTTTCTATTACCATAATTTAACCGTTCATTCTTTTCCATATCATATTAGGACACGGAGTACAGTTTAAAGTGCCTTGTTTTCAAGAAGTGCGAAGTTGTGGTCGAATTTGCAATAAACCACTTCCAGGTTGCTCACATCTTTGTCAGCGTAAATGTCACGCTGGTCCTTGTTTGGATCTAGCTTCATCCGACGAAGAATGTAATACTGTATGCATCCAACCCTGTCAAAAACCTCGTCCTGGTTGCGGACATCCATGTGGTTTACCTTGTCACGAAGTCCGAAATCAATCATGTTTAGAGGCTTTTACCAATCACGGTTTAGAAAGCCAGTTGATTTGCACTGCATTAGTAGATGTCGTCTGTCGCTGTGGCAAACTCAAACAAAGTCAACAATGTCATCAGGTAATCCTTGTAATTTTTTTAATGACATAAAACTAAATAATCGCTCTTAGGTCGAGACATCATGTTGGTTAATGACGTCTTTGACTGTTGGTTTGAGCCATGTTGGCAAGTGCAGAATACCTGATTAGAGTCTTCACGATTGTTGTGGCCAATTTTTGAAGACGTTGAATTAATTGGCTCATAATTTTTTATAATATTACAAATACATTAATTATTTGTCTACCGCTAGATCCTGAGTTTGAGAATAATTTAAACTTGTTTGGTTCGTTCTTCTTGTATTATGCTCTCCACAGTTGATTTTCCTTATTTACTATCACTGCTACTACTTTAGTGTTCACTTTTTAATTCAATTCTGCAATGCTGACGTGACGTCCCATGTAGGGTCAATGCACGTTTCTGTCAGGTCCTACGTTAGATTCACCGGAATAATGATCCTGAGATCTATCAGAGTCAGTAGATTGTTTTGACTACTTAGACTGTTTATATATGATTATACATAAATAATAAACGATTACATAAATAGCTTAGTCTACAAAAAACTCATATTCAACGTGGGAAAATCAGCAACAACGGTTAACTTTCACCATGGAAAAGTACAGAAATGACTAGTCCGATATTTCTCGACAGATACAAAGTTTCTCAGCTGTGAGAAATGTTGGTTTACGATTAATGAAACATAAGAAAGAGATTATATAGTAATAGAAAAATGGCTACTGATTGGTAATAATTACTTACGTCTGTTACCCCCCGTGAAGAAGCATATGCTGCCCACCAACATTCTCCACCCAACTCTCTCCTGGATAATCCTTTTGATGTCTGCTCCCAATTCTCGACACAGTGTATCCCTTGACCTTTCTCTTTTCAGTTTCCCTACAGGATTCCAGGTTAGCCCTTGCCCAACCTAATATGTTGCATTTGCATTGAAACACTTCAACGTCTTTTTTAAAATCAGGTTCGCTAGACATCAATCAACGAGTCGAGTTAGTTCTTGAGTTTTATACCCAGTTTACTTCATATAGATAAGTCTGGTCAGTGAAAGTTATTAACAATAAATACATTGACCTCTTTCTTATATTTTCTCACAGTTTATTTTTCAATATTTGAAGTAGACTGGCAAACCTCCCTTAGTTTTAAACGATCAATAAAAGTTAATAGTATTTGATCAAGATATAAAGTTATGGTTGTTAAACCACATATCAGATGAGAGTACTTCTACTATCAAACAATCAGTTTCATTTTAAATTGTGACTACTGAGAACTGTGTATACCATGACCACATCTATTCAAAATAAAACTCAAAACATCATAGTATTGAAAAGATTTTGGTACCAAAATGGGCTGATAAGTTTTGCTCAAGTTAATGATGCTATTATGTTTTATTTAATTCAGAAGCAGTCCTTTGTCACTTTCAAACGTCTTAACCTTTCAACGTATGATGACAATAATATTACCAAAATTGTTTATTCACATCCTCCATATAAGTATAATGTGTGTGCATTTTGTATAGATAATTTGAATTGTCCTATAATGAACCTCAACAATTGAGTAAAAAAGTGTCACAATGTCCTTGGTTGTTGATTATTTTCTGAATTTCTTATAAATAGTTCCTTAAGTAATTTTTTTATTAAGTAGAAAGGAATATTGTGTGGGGAAGTGAAATGAATCGATTTGTGAGCAAAGATGGATAGTGGCTAGCAGTGGAATCCTTTCGCTTCAAACACCATCGCGTTATCCACTCAGCTACTGATTCCTGATAGCCGATTGCTTGTGCAATGGAGTGAAGTTTTAAAATTCACTTAGTATTACTTGTTTGAATCTTCCCATTGATGTTTAGGACTGCAACTGGTGAGTCTCTTATTGGCATATGTGCATACTGTGCGTATTGCCTCGATATTGCCTAAATTCACAAGCATTGTAAGCAAAGATGGATAGTGGCTAGCAGTGGAATTTAGGACGCGAGTTTCGTCCTATTTGGGACTCGTCAGCTTGGTGTGCCTGCATCTCAGAGTTGATGTTCACTCTGGCACTCGAACCCAGTATCTTCCACTTCAAACGCCATCGCTTTATCTACTCAGCTACTGAGTCCTGATAGCCACTTGCTTGCGCAATGGGGTATGCACATATGCCAATAAGAGACTGACCAGTTGCAGTCCTAAACATCAATGGGAAGATTCAAACAAGTAATACTAAGTGAATTTAATGAATCGATTTATTTTAGTGTGCAATACATCTTTACTAAGATTGAAGACAATTATATTGTCCCCGTTATTTGTAATGCAAATCAAATGAACATAATACTTGATCATGTAATAATACAGTCAACTCAACTATTTGATCGTTCTATTGAGAACCAAATGTAAATCACAACAAAATTTTATTTATACCAAGTCTAAAACAGCCAGCAAATAGAATTAATGTCGAATGATTTTCCCAATATAAGGCAGTTTATTCTTAATTTTATCGTTGAATATGTCTGGCTTTAATCCTCAACTAATCGCAGGTCACTCTAACTAAACGTATAAATCTAAAAAATCCTTATTTTGAACTAAGTAAACTTTATTGATGATTTATGTAACCTCACATTTATTAATGATTCTAACTATAAAATTGGTCAGTGAGACTATTATTTATGGACAACGTTTGTGCGACACCAAACTAACCTTGAGAATGTCCACCTACTAAGTAGGGCTAAGTAAGGGTTATAAACCTGTTGAAAGAATAAAGATTTTGACTTAAAGTAGATGGTTATGGTTGGGAATTAGATTTAGGATTTTCATAGCGAAATGACATCAGCTATGATGCCAAAACGCTATTTAGCCAAATGCATGAGTGAATTTCGCGCCAAAATCCAAGACCTGTTTTTTTTATATCTGATTGGTTCGTCCATAAATTATAGTCTCGCTATTCTACGTTTTAAAAATGAAAACTTTTAATTACTGTTGTAAGATAAACATCTTGTACATTAGATTGTAATTGAAAGTTATTTTTATAGTAAAATCACATTTCAGAATTATGTGATGGATATTTTGCTGGTTGAGCTGAGAACGAGAGCGAAACTATTCATTGTGTTTTTGATACATTTTTACAGTGGTGAAGGGTACCATGATAACATTTTTTATAGGATACTTTAAATAGACAACCGTTAATACAACTGTATATACTAACAACTTTATCTTAGGTGTATGCAAAGCAATATCTACTTTTAGAGCATGAACGCAATGTGAGCGGTGCATCATTGACAAATATTCATCCACTTTTTACTGAGCATGATTCTCAAAAGCCAATACCTTTATTAGCATGTGATAATTCTTGTACTAGTTCTACAGAGTCACATACAAACAGTCAATATGCTAATACAAGCGCTTGGAAAAGAGGTTTTACAAACAGCTCTGATGCTGAGTTGCCTAACTCAGATGGAGATGAATGCCCATTTGATCCTCCAGAGTATCCTGACCAATTAAAGCAGTTTGCACTAAGAAATTTTACTTTTGTTGAAAATACTGAAGAACAATTGAGAAGCATGATTGTGCAAGTAAGTTTATTTTTAAAGAACCACTTTTTGAATATTATTCTACTGTTATTTTATTTCAGTCTTTCTGTCTACCGCCAAGTTCGATATTCACCAAATTTCACAAAAGTTAGTCCATAATACTAAAACTTATTTCAGTTTTGAGAAAGTTGTTTAACATACCATTTTCTCGCAATGACAGTCAACGGTAAAAATGTTATTTACTGTCTTCAGTCTGTCAATAAACAACAATAAGGTGATCTTAACATATGGTCACTATCATAGTGTCTTGTCGAATAATATGCCTTCTTAGATTTACCGAAACTACGTACATGCAGACGACTGATATAAGTAGGTTGTTTCGCCTTCTCAGAGTATTTACATACGAAAATATATGAACAAGGAGTGGTTCCATAATCAATAATAGTTAGTTTTCGTTAAATTCACATACAAGGTAATGAACGCAGCAACATATATAGGCTCATAGATAGTTCACTGTAGTCGGACAAATAAAGTTTATATCAACCAATGCGATTAACGAAAAATATACAGGAAGAGGAATAAAAATTAGCTACTCATTAACAGTGCTGTTGTAATACACATAAATTTTACAAGTTTCTCTCACGTTGTGACAGTTTTCTGCTCGCTATTCTTTCTATGTAGTAGAAATGATATTTGCTAGTCATTAGATTAATTACTAACTTAGTTCATTATTTAAAGGAAAGTTGAATACAATCTGTTACATAATACACTTATTCTGTGCTCTCATCATTTGATTTATTTCGTTGGAATATACTGTTCTTTATAATTTGGTAGTTTGTTGGACTTTACTGAACTAACAAAGGTTTAAACTTAAAAAAAAGTCACATATTTAAAGAAAACAAGTTCACCATTAAAGTGTGCTAACAGTTTAAAGTCGATCAAAACAATAAAATCAAATTTACAGAATAACTTGAATTTATCATAAACTGAAGCTACTTTAAAACTACGCGTATAATACCATCGGAGGCATCGCATCATAGCTGTCTCCATGTTCCCCCGCTAATTCTGTACTCATAATTACCGGTGACGAGTAACAGAATGTTTTGTAGTAGATTAGAGCAATAGAAATTGATGTTTTAAGTCAGTAATATCTAGATGGGAATACTTAGGTATATCATTATAACCCCTGAGATTATTCATTGTTCTAGATATATACTAGCATCATAGGCAAAGTATTCTTCCGAAAATTCGTGGGACGTATATCTCGTTGGCTTTTAGTTATTCTTCGTGAACACCTCATATGTCGTGATCAAGCTTTGCAATAGACCGAAGACGTTTCTTATTTGGTACATAGTATTCTCACAATGATGAATTTCCCTCTCTTTTTAACTATTTTTAATACCAGAGGAAAGTTGTATTGTGGCTACTACAACATAATAGTATTAGCTAGTTTGTGAGATAAATATAAACCGTTTGAAACATTTGATTTCAGAACACCGCAAATTTTATTTAAGTAGTTTCTCTTGAGAAAAAGACTTATTAATGAAATAGGTCATAAACTCTAGATATTGTTTTCTTTATGGTGTTTATAAAAATAGTTAGTGGCTTAGTAAATTTTTGATGTCTTATTAAGTATAAAGATATGGTGATATGTAATAAACACGGTTTCCTTCTATTGAGGAAAAAGGCTAAGGAAACTACACTGAGTTCAAACAAACAAATCTCTAACAGTTAGTGACGTGAATGTTCAGCAAAGTGATTTCTCGTATAGATGGTAAACGAAACTTTTTAAAATCGCTCTCAATAGTTTTCACATTTACTAGATACACTTAAAATACTTTATGTATTGCTTTACCAATGTTATTTATCTTTAAGTCATTGTGTCTTCTGTAAATCGAGTATTTACTTTATTTTAGTTCTTGAAATCCAATATTGAACCTACTGATCCAAATAATCCTAAAGAATACCCCCGAGTTTTGACTCATCGTTTTCCTCCTATGAATAAAAGGAAACGTCGATTCATTCATGATATTGTAGAATACTATGGTATAGAAGCTTGTACATGTGATCCGGGACCTAACTGTCATGTAATGGTTATTGCGAGACGTGGTTATTCCAAACTACCTGCGGGATCAATGAGCAATCGTGGAAGCCTAACCAACGTGCTCAAACGAGAATGTCCTGGAGTCGTGAAGCCTTCCAACGAACAACCAAAATTGCTAAAAGATCCTAAGACTGACTGTAATGTATTACCTGCTTCAAATATTTCGACTTTGTCTTATGCTCAAATATTACGTGGAGAACTTACCTAACAAAACGGTATTTACGGAAGACTTTCATTCTCTGAATTAAGTTAGACATACCTTTCTGTGATGCACAGTCCTCTAGATTCCTTCGATTTTTATTCGAATTAATCCTTTTATCCTGTTGTATTTACATGAGGTTATTTTTTTAAACTAAATATTCATAAATCGCTTTAGTCACTGACGATATTTTCTTACATATAATCCACTGTAAGTAAATCTCTCACTACCGTAATCCGCCTCGTAGTTTTCCTATACTATGGTGACAAGCTATTTAAAATCGAAAAAGTGTCTTCTATTTTCTTACCAAGACTCATAAATAAGTGACTTATATAAAAGTCAAGTAATGTAATGTGTTCAAATCTAAAAGAGAGCAAAGCACGTGTTGAAAGCGCAAATTCACAGTATCGTTTTCTGTTAAGGAACTTTATGAAAAACCTATGACTTATTTATTCGTCAGTTAATACACAGGTACTTCGTAAATGAACGCCTTTAGATTGGTTAGTAGTCTTGTAGGTTTCTTACTTTGCGCCTATGGCCTAAAGAAAGGTATACAATGTAATTCAATTATTGCTGTGACGCGTCGGTCAGTGTTTATGACCTCCTACAATGGAAGTAACTATGTATAATATTCAACACCTAAAATATGCCAGGGGAATACTTTGCCACTGCGCAGTTAACGTAACCACTTTCTAACTAGGAACAATTGATCTGAGTGCTATTATTTTCAGAAGTGATTCGATTTTAAGGACGTAAGGTCAAATACGCTTGTTACATGCTCAGTAGTGCCAGTTAGCTGCTTGTTATTTAGTATAATATTGCTTAAAGTGTATAAGGCGCAATTGATTTGGTTTTTACATCTAAGGAAGGGCTTTATCCATATTGTGAAGCAGCGCTAGAAAGTATGCTGGGTATACAGTACCTGTTCAGCACTCGTGGTACTGATCATTACAGAAAAAATTCCAGGAGCGCATAAAAGTATTTAGTGATCCGTGATCTGACTACAGTTATATCGTATGAATGATAGTTATCGAATGATTGCTGTTGAAATAAACATCCCCGTTACTGTCGTATATAATCATCAACTTAACTCGCATTACTGTTTAATGGAATTTAATACATCAAATACGAATCCGTGTATTTCATACGATCGTTTATCTGAAAGTGAGGCAAAAATTGATGAGGCGAGTGAGCCAGCTCGATTTGATCAAGCGTTAATCGATATCTATGGGAAGATCAAAATAAGTTGCAGATATGTGATGAGTAAGACATGAAATGAAAACACGCTTACCTAAAAACAATAATTAAACCAATAAGTGGCAAGGTCAAAATGTGGTTTAAGAAGAATGAGTAAACTTGATTATTCGTAAGCTAGAATAAATTATGTGGGTGTAAAATAGCACATGACGTTACACTGTCCTCCACAAATATCACAACAGGAATACTTAGCTATAAAGCGCTACAATAAAGTTGTATCATAGCATATGATTCAGTGTATCAGACATCACGTCATACAGATACTCAGAACAGCTCATACTAACCTCAGATTACCCGATGTGTGTCAGTAAATTGTCGAGTAAACAATGCATCGTCGGGAGAAAATTGGCCCTATGTTCCTGGAACTTGGAATCCCGAAGGTAAGAAGAATGTGTAATTCTTTGTCTGATCATCGACACCTTCCCAAAATATCTGAGATTTGATGGCAAAACAATGTAACATATATTGGTCACTGGCAATGTATGCAAACGAGTAACGATGATGCTCTTTTAGTAACGTTTTATAAGCATGAACACGTATTGTCAGGATTTCGTTATCCGATATTCGATAACGCTTTCATCTGGAAAATATTTATGTTCAAAAAATACCAACCCAGGCAAATCAGAAGTAAGGGGTTTCGGACTCGAAGGTATATTTGGATAGTTACCTTAATGTTGGTAAGTGTTTAGTCTAACCTGGACTATGGTTACATAAATGCATAGCACAGAGTACCAGTTGATTATCTAGCACGAGGTCAGCAAATTTTTCAAAGACTCACAAATATCTACGATGTGAATTTTTTTTACCAGTACAGACTACACTGACATATGGATAAGGATGGTTATATACTTTTCCTAAAGTTCATTAAAGCAAATTACACTTGACAGCATACAATATTTTTTAAACGGACTATATGATATAAATCCATAGTTTTTATTATCATTGAAATCATTGTGAAGCTCACACCATTTCCCAACCTCTTCTACGCGAGAGTGACATGAGAATTTTTTGGGAATTTCAAAGACATTGGAAGGCGGAGCTTGAGTTGTGATCAAATAATAGGTCGATTATTAGTACAGACTGGCTGAACTAATCTTCATCGATGTCAGTTGAACAAGCCAATCCCTTGGTATGTTTTCATGCCTATAGCTGCTCTTAAGATTAAAAGATTGCAAATGAATAACAGATTTCTATTCAGAATTTGTTTTTTTACATCAGTGATCGTTAGAGTGACCTACGTAGTGCCGCGATATTTTTTTGCTTACCAGGTTTTTGTGTTCCAAAGCTTCTTGCTTAAGCGTTAGTTCGAATAAGATAAAAAACATAGCTGATTCCAAGAGCAACTGCTAGTCAATTTAACGCATGTCAAAAAGTTAACATTCTCGTTAAAACCTCAATTTACACATCACTAACAGTAGTCTGAAAACCCAAACAATTAGCTGGTAAATAAGTTGTATATTTATACCCTAATATTAGTTTGGTGGTGTCTAGGTTATGTTGCTCATAACGTATCATAATTTCATAAATGTCATTACTCGACTCATTTATTTTCGAAGTGTACACTCGATGTTCGTCTTTTTCATAATCTTTGTGTTATCTTATCCTGCTTTCCATCCAACTATCATTTTCCTTCGATCGTCCGTATTATTTGGCAATTTTGTTCACATCTGCAACGTAGCAAGTCGAGTGCTATGAAGGATTGATTTGGTGTACTTATTTAGCGTAATATGATTATTATCATTAAAGTTTTACTTTAAATTATGTACGAGTCTAGACTATAATTTATGGACGAACCGGTCATATTTACGATAAAAATCTCTGAATTTTGGCACGAAATCAGTTCATCTATTTAACTAACTACCATTTCGGCATTACAAACAATGTCAGTTTGTAGTGAAAACACTAAATATAATTTTTGACTATCAACTCTAAATAATAATCCTAATCCCTTATACTGGTTCATAACCCTAGTTTGACCGTAGTATGTACGTGACCATAAATTATGGTCTGACCGTGTAAAATTCAGTGAATGTTAAATTGTACGAAAGTTCCATGATCAAAACTTTATTCAATATGCTATTTTAATCTATGTACTAAGTGTGATGTACAGTGTACTTTTCTCTTTCGAAGTTACGGTGCTCTATCAAATAGTTTTCTTCAGGAATTAATTGTGTCGGAAGGTTTCGAAACTTAACTTCAACCTTTTTTGTGATGTGTGAAGACTATCAGACAGTGTGAACATAAGTACTGTGTCGATAAAAGTCCACTACAAAGTTAGCTTTGAATTGCTTTTTACATCAGTCTTTTGAATTACGTTATTTTATATTCTCCTACCGTATTTTTGATTCGATTATCTTCTTAATGCTATACTTTTCTTCCTTAGGTATTTGTGTTCTAACGTCCTGGCTCATAATCTTCAAATTAAACGTTGCCATCATGCCGTCGATTGTGAATTATCGTATAACTAGCTCATTTACTATAATTGCGTCAATGTTAAGTTCTATAATGCCCGGTAAGAATTTATCTCGGTGTATCACAAGTACTATCATTTTTAATCCTTCACTAACCACCTTATAAATCTAAATTTTTGACCGCAGTTATTTAATAAGCTGGTATTCGTACTTTTAAAACTTCGTTTTATATATTGATTATCACTAATTCAAATATAAATTACCATTTTGTAAATAAGAAAGGGGAGATAAGCGTACTTTCTCAAAGTATACCTGTCAATAAAATGTCAGGTTTTGCTCTTAACGGGATATTTTCGCGATTCTGTAAACTCTACACATAATTGTTTCCATTTATTTAGACTTGACAAAATGTCTTATGTACAAATAGTTCAATATATCAAACCAGCTTCTGACCTTGGGGCTTGTCGAGTGAATTGTTGTCCAAAAATACTAATCAATAGGAATAGTTGGGTCGTAATAACAGAAATTTATAACACTAATTGTGAATTTATGTAAGGAGACAGTGATGTAAAGGCCTGTGGAAATCCATTGTTTATGGATATCTCGTCGCTTAAAGTCAACAATAAAATTACCTATTTTTCATAAAGTCTCTTAATTTCAGTGAGTGCTCATTTACAGTTTTCGGTTCCTTGAAATTTTAGCATAAATCGAATTCAATATAACACTCAAATAAGCGAGAAACAGTTTCTTTTACGTTTATGGGTCAAAGTCGACGTCCTCCTTTAACTTTCGGAAAGTTACTCTGTTACAGAATATATTATGATCATAATTTAAGTAGGTATTTCAGAAAAAGTGGCAATTTTCTACGCCTTAAGCATTTTGGATATTTGACTACCAATTTCAAAATTTTATGGGTCTACGTACTGAATAATTTGTGGGAGCAAAAAGCATACATTTGTTGACTTACAGTTGATGGTATTCTACAAAGTAGTCCTGTCAGTTTTGTGCATAATTGAAAATACTAATTTACGGAAGACTTGTTATAGTTTTAGTATGTTTTAACTTCATGTGAAGTTCATACAAGATGAAAGAAAACTGTCAAGCTTGTTTGAACAAAACCCTAAATATCTTCATTTCGTCAGCTATTTTACGTACAGTAGAACATTGTCATTTACAGGAGCTTAAGATCAATAAGTCTTTATATCAGGTCACTGAATATCTTATCAGTTTTTCACTTTCGATACCAACTGAATTCCCACAAATTTTGTCATCTATCCCCAATTTCTTACAATACCTTTGGTGGATTACATAGTTATTTTTCAAACCTGATTTAAGTCATCGTTTATGCAGATTATTTAGTTGACTAATTCTATCTGAATATGATGAATCTATTAGATACTGAGTCATCATTCCCCTATATGTGATGCATATTTAAGACAATTTAACATCACTTAACTCATTGACTTTGAATTATCGTCTATTTACAGATACATGAAGATATGATATATTATGTTCTTGTGTGTAAATAAATGTGACTTTACGTCCTGTATTTAAGACTTGACAGTTACAAACTCGTAATCCTTTAACTTTTAGGTTTAGCCTTCGGTTTTTCTTCGGCAATCACTCTCCAAGTATACGTTACGGCCTCAAAATCTGCGATTTTTGCCAGTTCATTGAACATTGGTGGTCTTTTAGGTGGGTTGCTATCAGCGCATATGTTGTCAACTGCTGGAAGACGTTTTACTCTTTTGGTATCTTGTATTCCTACTGTGTTAGGCTGGTTATGGATGTATCTCTGTGCTGACGTAATATATCAAAATGCCTTCCCAACAAATCTATTTATTTTTGGTCGTCTTTTAACTGGATTTGGGGCGGGATTATGTATTCCATCTTCTGCCACATATATGTTAGAAATATCTCCCACTAAAATTCGTGGTATAGTTGGTTCATTACCTCAAGTTGGAATAGTCGCTGGGATTTGTATATCTTTTTACATGGCTATGTTTAAGCTTTGGGAACAAATCGCTCTCATAAATTCCATTTTCTCCAGTGTCGTACTAGTTCTCGTATGGCTTCTCCCAGAATCTCCAAAATGGCTTCGAAAAGCTGGCCGTATTCACGAAGCTAACAATGTTAGCATACAGTTGTTTGGGACAGTAAGTCTTTGGTGAATCATATTACCTAGTAAATTTACATTTTTATACCTACGGGGTTAATAAATATCAATTCACATTTGATGTGATCATCCAGATCACGCAATAAAAAATTATTTTGAACTATTATTTAATTTAGCGTACTTCATTAGGTTTTATTTATGATGAACTGACTTATTTCCGTACTTATTTTCAACCTAACATCATTTCCTCGATTAATTTCTATTTACTCGTAAATTTGGACCTTGGGAAGTGGGTTTTAATTCATTTAAAAGCTAACAGTTAACTAGCTGAAGTTGAAAGCTTCTTTTTCCAAAGTAGAATTTCATAAGTGAAAAAAATTATAGCATATTACTTTGTGATTCAGTTTTCATATTTCGTGACGGGATATAGAAAGAATTCGTTCTCATAGGTATTCGAGTTGCTGCCAATTGCCCAATAAGACTGTCCAAAGTTTCTGGAAAATTCATGTTCATTTTTAGTCAAATTATCATACATAATTAATTATTCAAAGTTTATCAAGTGTAATCTATTTAAATATTTTATCACATAATTAGATTCCAATAACGACACTGGGACAACATTAATTTTGTTGTAACTAAGTGTCTGAATGCATTCTAAATGATATACTGGTGAAGAGCAATCGGAATTAAAGAGAAAAGGAAATTTATCAACGCGAACTACAAATTTCGTGAATTGTATAAGATTTAACTTTGTTATTTTTGTATTCCCAAAAGTTTCTTTAAAAAATATCAAAGAAATTACAAATCAGGTTTTAAAGAATTATCTAAAAGAACCTTGATTTGTGGATTTACATATCATAATCATTTTCGTTTCATTTTAATTGTGTGAGGGCTATGATACTACCCGGGTGCTTAGACTGAAGCAGGTGGTTTACGTAGGGGGGCCACACCTGGAGCCTTTGATCGAAAGGTCTGACTCACAAGGCAGTAGAGCATCGTAAGGAGATGCAGTCCAATGGTAGTCGGTGACCAACAATTGGTTCATACACCATTTGTTCCTTCTGGGTACTGGAGCTCATGTGCACCATTGGTTTGGAATCAGGGTTTCCCAACTCATAAAATTTATCTATTTACTATCCACGTTATTAGTAATTTGATAACTTAAAACAGGTATTTCTTGTTGACAATGATTTTGATTCAATTTATAGTCTGTAAAAAGTCTTCTGCTTTTATTTAATGTTAAGTAGGAAATATTTTTGATTGCATATAGGAATGTTGATCTCACTTCCATTTTATAGCCTGTGTTGAAATGCTAACAATTTTGTGAGTTTTATAGGAATAGCCCAATAATGTGAATTGGGATTAAGATACTTTTTAAATCTCTAGCAATGCTGCCCATGCGAATCTTGTATTTTATTTTGCAAGGTCAGTGAACATTCTATGGATACGATCAATTTAAATGAAAATATAACCAATAATGAAACAAAATGGCACTCATTATGGCCTTATGTCTTTCCATGTTCAATTGTTCCGTCAAGTCAACAACCTCAATTACGAATGGCTATAGCCCTCATGATATTTCAACAGTTAACCGGTGTAAATGCTATCCTCTTTTTTGCTGAATCAGTTTGTCTCATTGGAAATGCAAAATCACCTCCTGCTTGTGCCTTCTCTATAGGCTTTTTTCAAATGATATTCACTATTTTAGCAGCTTTTGTTATCAATCACATGCGTCGAAAAACATTACTTCAGTTTAGTGCCTTTATCATGGTTATAGCGTTACTGGCCTATAGCATTACAATTTCTGTAAGTTAACTGTGAAATAATTTCTACTTTCCTTTTATCCAATAATGTCACTTTATTATTAGCATAACGTAAATATGTTAAGCATGTTTTCATGCATGTCTCTAAACGAATGAACAAAGATATTCTATAGATACATTCTCTACTTCTCTAAGAATACTGTGGTTAATTGTTTGTTGATAGGAAGCTCAAAAATGTTTTCAATGGAACTATAAAGTACACAGTGTAAAAGTTAACTTTTGCATCCTTTAAACGTAAAGCAGGTAAACAAATAGTTTCTTATACGATTAAAACTTTCGTAAATGTTTAAGGTGTGTTTATTAAAATTTAAAACAACCAGTGGTGGTCTTGCAAACCTTTACTGCCAATTTTAATGATGGGTCTCCTAAACAGAGACTCATTTACTTTGAATACACGAACAGCATTTTCTTATTATAGTCGAGAATGCCGATAAAGTTTATAGTTTCCTGATGCTTTTTGCAAACTTTAAGTAAAGAGAAGTCTTTGTATATCTGCCCTTTAAGCTACGGGTTGTGTCATGAATATTACCGGTGATTTATTAAATTTTTGTAGATTGGATATGTATATGTTCATATGTTCACGATGTGACGTTAAAATCAAAACAATTTCCTGATGAACGTAACATTAAACATTTAAGCTTGGACTTAGACTACTTGGCGAATTTAATTGTTTTATCTGAAAAATTCTAGATTAATCATGGAGTATTTTGTGCTACGGCTCTTTTACTGACGATGTTAACTATGTATATGGAGAATTTACTGATCTTTTTGCGAACAGTATAAATTATTTGAAGGTTTGACTTCATTAGGTCTATTTCTTTTGGTTTTGTATGAAACTAACTAGTAATAGAGGTAAAATGGTAAATCGATTGATAAGGTAGTAAATCTTCATTAACTGAGGTGGTTTGGAAATGTGTCACGTATGCACTACCACCGCCTTCCTCGACGAACAATTTTTTCGTGTGTAAGAGTTGGTTGTAAGAAAGCTAGGGGCGTTCAAAAGGAAACTTGACACCTGTCCATGAAGTCACCGACAATTTAACTCAGCCATGTTAATAGGTGTAGATTTCCTGGTTGGGGTCCGCGTGATTATCGTAACCAATACTTATAGACTTTGAATGACATGGCTCATAACCCTGCCCAGGTGCATCCATTTTTTATCTCCCTCCAAATTCTGAGATTCTATATTTCTCATAACTTTGTTTTTGTTTCACCAATTTATTTTCTTTCGAATCGTATCCCCGATGCCTAATCCTTCCTGTTATGATTGATAATGTTACTACCTTTACTATTCTGGTATTTGGCCTGACAATTTTCTCAGAAGCATCACAAATTTTTGAACCGAGTGACAGTGCTTGTATTTGTAACGTGGACGCTTATGCATTAGAATAGTTGAAAACATATTCTTAGGAGATTTTAGAAAAGAGGTTTTGTTGTCTCCTTTTGTTTTTGATTTTTCAGTCATGTCTTCAGAGTGTTCTTTCGAGACTGTATCAACATATTCCTTAGACATTCCTCATTCTTCACTTTATAGTTCGTGTTATGCAATATTACGTCCCGCTTCAGGCAACCTGGAATCATCGATATGGTTCAATATCAAGTGTCTAAGTGATTAATCAGTTAGTCAGTCAGTCACAACGTAGAACTCATTACGTACGTACATCAGTTCGAGTTGTCATACTACATTAGCACAGAGATGCAGTTGTCAGTTCAAATCCCATAGTCGTAGAGGTAGTAAGAGCTTAAGCGGTAATCCTCAAGATTAGGGTTTGAAGATGTTATTCAAGGGGCATAATCCAGTGAAATAAAAAAAGAAAGGGATATAAAGATATCAGACCAAAGATATCAGATTAGAATTTAGGAGAACACAAAGGGTGGATGCACCTTCGCCATTGCAAACGATTTTGAGCCATGTCATTTAAGGTCTCTAACTATCGATTGCTATCGTCTCGCGAATCTCAACCAGGTAGTCTACACCTACCAACATGGCTCAGTCCAATTGTCAGTGACTTCATGGATTTGTGCCACGTTTTGATCTGGCTGCCCCTAGCTTTCTTCCAACCTACGTCTACACCATAAGGCATTGCATGTCGGGGCAGTAGGTGGTTGGGTATACGTAACACGTGTTCCAGCCATCTCAACTGATGAAGTTTCACTACTTCATCAGTCGATTTGCCATCCTTACCCAGTACCCGTTTCCTAACAACTGCATTACTTACCCGGTGGTCTCAGGATATACTAGCAACGCTTTGAAGACATCTATGATCGAATACTAGTAGCTTGAGAGTATTCTCTATTCTTACCGGTCATGTTTCACTGCCATAAAGTAGGACAGAACGAACTGCTGCACAGTAAACCAGATGACAGTTCGCCGTAAGCTCTAACTCGGCCAGTTGCGTTCGAGTAGAAAGCCTTTATAAGGTTAATGTACTTCTTCGTACTTTTTTCAATGATAAACCCTGCCATAGAACCTTATTTATTATTTATTTATTTATTTAAACACATATACATTGGTACAAAAGGGCACCAGGTACATATGCGCCACACAAAATAATGAAAGTAGGAAGAGAAGGGATGAAAAGATAAGGCGGACTAAAATGTACAACCAGAAGACTCTTTCAAATAGGAAAGTAAGAACCATACTTTATGTAGAAAGTAAAAGAAGGTTGCAGCAGGATCGCCACTGGCTTCGATTCTGAGCCATATCTGATAACGTCTCTAGCCACTGTGTTGCACAATCTCTCGGACCCCAACCAAGGAGTCGTGAAGGACCAACAGAAGCTAGCCCTTTGCAGCTTTCTTTCATGCCACGACACCATGTCATACACTGACCTCCTCTCCGCTTTTTCCAACCAGTCCCAGGGTCGGCAAATAATGCACGACGTGGAAGTCTCTGGGACGACATTCGTAAAACATGTCCAAGCCACCGAAGTCGGTGTTTCAAGATGGTGACACCAATTGAATTATCGTCTCTGTGCCCGAACACACGATGCCGAACCTCTGCATTACTAACATGGTGTTGCCACTGGATGTCAGCAATCCTTCGGAGACAACGATGATCGAACACAGAGAGACGTCTAACATCCTCAACTCGGAGAGGCCAGGTTTCACAAGCATAGAGCAAAACTGCTCTCACCGACGCGTTGTAAATCCAACTTTTTACAGCCAGACTAACATCACGAAGTCGCCAAAGATGGCCCAGATTGGCATAAGCCGATCTGGCTTTCCTTATACGTGCATCAATCTCATCACTCACGCCACCACCAGCACTTATATAGCTACCTAGATACACGAACTTCTCAACTACTTCGATCTGCTCACCATCCAGGGTGAGTACAGGATTAGAATCCTGCCAGTCTTGTAGAAGTACTTTACACTTGGAGGGTGCAAAGCACATGCCGTACCTGCGGACACTGATTGCCAACTGATTAAGTGCTTATTGCATGCCTTGGGCATTATCGCACAGTAAGACAATATCATCCGCATACTCAAGGTCGAGAAGTCGTTCTCCAGGCAACATATCCACACCGCCATTACTTACATCCACCAGAGCTGTTTCTAGGATGTCGTCGATGGCAAAGTTGAAGAGGAATGGTGAGATCGGGCAACCCTGCCTAACCCCACTGCTCGAATGGAACAAGGGAGAAAGGTGGTTGTATGCCCTCACTCTGCCTGAGGTGTTCGTGTACAGGGCCTTTAAGATGTTAATGAACTTCTCAGGCACACCCTTCTTCAATAGACAATCCCAGAGAACAGTCCTGTCCAACGAATCGAACGCCGCCCTGATATCAAGAAACACTACGATTGTTGGCCTGCGATAAGTATGACGGTGTTCTAACATTTGGCGGAGGGTGAAGATGTGATCAATGCATCCTCGACCAGAACGAAAACCAGCCTGCTCCTCGCGAGTCAATCGTTCTCGGGTTTTAAACAACCTACGAAGAATGATAGAAGCCAATAGTTTGGACGCAATCGGAAGTAGACTTATCCCCCGATAGTTGTTACAGGAACAACGCGAACCTTTTTTAAAGATAGGGACGACTATTGACTCATTCCATGATGTTGGAACACTTTCTTGCTCCCAAACCTTTCCAAACAACACAGTCAATTCCTTAGTCAGAAAGTCGCCACCATCTTTAAAAAGAGCCGGAGGTAAGTCATCTGGGCCAGGTGATTTGTAGCGCTTCAAGAGTTGGAGTTCCTTGCGGACTTCCGCCTCGTTTGGTGGAACAGTCGTCACCGGCCATGGGGGGCAGGACAAGCTGGTTGATGTTGCCGGAGCAGCAGGCCAGTTGAACTGCCCTTCGAAAAATTCCGCCCATCGTCCAAGACGTCGGGAGATGTTAGTGATTGGCATCCCATCATCCTCGTAGATTTTTTCACTCACACCAGACTTCTTGCTGCCAGTGGCTCGGATGAGTTGGAAGAGCTTCCGGCAGTTACCAGATGCAGCTGCTGCTTCCATCTCATTAGCACGCTCCGACCACCAGGCTTCTCGGTCCTTACGCAAGCTTTGCCCAATTTCATTACGTAACAGCCTTCGTTTGTGGTCAAACTCACGGTCACCCGGAGTAGACCGACGGGCTTCGATCAGTTGTAAGGAGCCAGAAGAGACCCAGTGCTTGTAAGCGGGACGTTTCGCGAAGCCGCAAGCGGCTTTCCTCGCCATTTTCATAGTGTCGTGAAGATGCAACCAATGCTCATCTATACTTTTCGGTGGGATGGTAGCTAGCCTAGAGGCTAGCTCCGCTCGATACTTACTTGCAACAGAAGTTGCAGCCAGTTTACTAACATCAATCCGTTGGTGGTGGTCAATCCTTCGGCCACTGAAAAGTAAGGTGAGATTGGCGCAGACCAGGGCATGATCAGACTCCAGATAGGTACTCCAAAAGGAGCGGCAGTCTTGTACACAACCACGCCAGCGGTAGCTGATCGCGATGTGATCAATCTGAGTCCAGGCTTGGGATGCAGAGGGAGGACGCCAGGTGGCACACCGGCGATGACTGTGCCGGAAGTTAATGCTGGCCAGAAACAGGTTGTGGTCTGTGCACAGTTGCAGCAAACGGTCCCCGTTATCTGTCCTGCGACCAACAAGTCCCCATCGGCCACCTAGACGACTCTCTTCTATGCCTAGACGCCCGACCTGTGCATTCAAGTCTCCGGCTAGTACTACAATATCTGTCGAACGCGCTTTCTGGAGAAGAACTGTTAACTGATGGTAAAACTCATCCTTGATTGCATCCGGGCTGCAATCTGTCGGAGCATAGGCGGAGATGACGAAAAGACACCGTTTCTCACGCCGGTTTCTTCTCACTTTGATGGAACTTTCTAATCTAACAGCACATAACCGACTGTTAATGGGGATCCAATCGATTAGTGCTGCCTCAGCCCTAGCGCTTAGTGCGACGCCAACGCCAGCAAGACCAGACGAAGATGCCACAGGGTCCCCGGATAAACGCACGTGGAACAAGCTTTTCGAGGCGACAGATGGAGAGCGGATTTGTAGTACTTCACTAGAGTCTTGAATACGGGTCTCGGATAGACAACAAACGTCAACATTAAGACCTTCCAAAGACATAGCCAGCCCTATCTGTTGTCTGATCTGCATTAGTGTGCGAACGTTGAAGGAAGCCAGCTTGAACGGCGTACGTGGTTTCAGAAAGACTGCCTCAGTATTCATAATCGGTGGAAGCATTCACTTTCAACCAGACAGTGACTGGAAATCGTTTAGATAGGACAGATTTTCCACCAAGAGCGAGCTGCTGCATAAGTTGAAGAGTAAGGTTACACAAATTGGGGATAAAAGGGGGTGAATTAGCGATATGGTAAGTAATAATAACAATAATAACAACAATAATAATAATAATATTAATAATAATAATAATAATAATAATAATAATAATAATAATAATAATAATAATAATAATAATGTAAATTGTCTTGCTTATAATATGAGCAGGAATAGAATCGTCAACAGAGTTCATCATTTCATTCAATTGTGCCCCCAAATGCCCTGGTACGGTCGAGAGAGGGAAGAGCCATAGAACCTTACGATCAACGGAGTCAAACGCCGCCTTAAGGTCGATAAATACTACGATTTCGGGTCGTCTGAATGTGTTTTCATGTTCTAGGACCTGGCGTAGAGTGAATATCTGGTCTATACAACCACGTCCAGGTCGAAAACCAGCCTGGTTTTCTCTAGTCTGCTCTTCACGAGCTTTGGTTAGGCGGCGAAGTATTATTGAAGATGATATTTTAGAAACTATATTAGTCAAACTGATCACTCTGTGATTGTCACAAGAGGACTTTTGTCGTTTCTTATAGACTGGCAAAATCAGTGATTAGGACCAGTCAGATGGAATTACGTTCAGTTCCCAGATTCTCCCTAAGACCTCAGCCAATTTCGCTGCTAGTACTGGACCACTATCCTTAAAAATCTCAGGGGTAAACCTGCCAGGGCCTGCTGTTCTCCCTCGCTTCAGATTTCCTATAGTATTCTCATGTTTGATAGTATAATATAAAAACCCATTGAGTTTCTTAACTGCTATAGGATTAGGTTAATATGCTTTAAATAATATTTTTCTTGTAAGTTGTAATAGTGATTATTCTACCATTTCCAATTCCCTCTTCCAGAGTTTTTCATACAGTACTAAACTTGGTGAGTTTTGGATTATTTTATTTATGTTTGGTTATTCATTTGGCTGGGGACCATTACCAGTACTTGTTAGCATGGAATTGTTTCCAGTTAGTAGTCGTGGAAATGCTTTAAGTGCTGCTATTGCTGTCAATTGGATCTTTGCTTTTTTAATAACAGAACTATTTGAAATAACTGCTAATTTAATTAATCCTTCCATATTGTTTACTACATTTTCTATATGTTGTTTAATATCTATGGGTTATGTTCATAAATATATACCAGAAACTAGTGATGAAACAATTGGATCAACATCAGATATAATTTCATCATTATCATGTAAATCACAATTACGTGTTTAATATGAAAGTATTTTCTATAATTTCTAATATCTACACTTATTATTACTGTGTTTACTATTTGTCTGCCTGGAACCCATATTTTTTTCATTTTGTTTTTGGAAGAGTCAAGTCTTTCTTGATTTGTGTTTTTTTTTTCGTTCACAGTTTGTGTTCTCGTTTTTTTTTCTAGGTGTATATGTTTTATTCAAAAAAGATTAACATTTCCATTTCTACTTAAACACACTATTTATGTTTCATTATGTTGCATAAGTCCACTTTTCTTTCTTTTTTTGTGGTAGATCATGAAAATGTCAATATTTTGTTTTTAATGTTTTGTCTTTTCTATGCTCTTTTTTTTCTCTCATTTTGTTTGTTTTTCTTTTTTTTTAATTACAAATGTTACATAATATTTGTTATGATGGTTTTTTGATTTTTTTTTTCATTGAGTGATTGAAATATCATTCGTTGATATGGTTTTTCAAGTTGGTTTGGTTACCTAGACACCTAGGTAAAAATGGTGAAAGACTTTTTTTATTAGTATTAATATTATTGATATTATTTGTCATTGTTGTCATAGGTGATATTTATTCTTTTGTTTTTATCGGTTCATCTTTTTGTTACTGATGATTGCTCCTTAGTTTATTTTATAATCTTCATAATTTGTACATGAAATAAGAACTGAGAGTTCTTCAAGTGGTACAAATTGAATATGACATGTATTAATTTCTTTTCAGTGGGATATTGGTTAGTTGTTCTAATTTCATTTTTACGTAATAATGGTCTAAAAACAAAATTGCAGTAGAGAAATTCTTTTCAATGCGGTTTATTTATTATTTATTTATTTAAACACAAATATTTGTACAAGGAAGCACCAGATACATATGCGCCACATAAATCCCATTCGATTTGTATGAGGGCTGTGATACTGCCCAGGTGCTTAAACTGAAGCAGGTGGTTTTCTTTGGGGGTCCACACCCGGAGCCTTTGATCTATAGGTCTAACCCACAAGGCAGTGGAGCATCATGAGGAGATGCAGTCCTATGGTAGTCGGTGACCAATGGTTGATTCATAAGCCATTTGTTCCCTCAGGATACTGGAGCCTATGTGCACCATTGGTTTAGAATCAAGGTTTTTCAACTTCCATAGGTGCACATTCTATGTCCACCAACCCAGTTAAAGCGCCGAACATTCACTTTTCGTCTTCTCAATTTTGTAAACAACACCCCCACCACGAGAAGGCAGTGAGTAGGACTTGTGTGGCAGAGGCTATATACGCGTGGCCATGTGAGAGCATTTCGAGAGGGAGAGCGGACTCTCCCCACTCCCGGCCGTACCAGGGCATTTGGAGGCTGGTCCGGCGAGGCTTTATGTTGTGTTACGTTTTAAGATAATGAACATTCAAGTAAAAAGTTGTCTCGTAGATGTATTTATTGTTGAGGAAATTGTTCATTTTTGTTTGTGATCATCAATGTGTAATATTTAGAATTATTGGAATTAGGCTGATGAGATTTCTAGGTAAAGTTTGTCAAATGTATTCGGGGTAGACTAAAGACATTTCAATATTTTCTACGATGATCAGTATGAAGTTGTGGGAGATTGTTAAATTTTACTTATATCATGTTTCGATTTAAGTAAAACAACGACTAGAAAGCTGGAAGCACTGGACAACCACTTCGTCCAGATAGAAAACTCCTCAGTTGTGCGCATCTTCGATTTCGTAAGCAGGAATAAAAACCAGTACCTCACGTCCGAAAGCCTAACCTCTATACCATTAGTGTGACAGTCTAACTTCGATCAACCCATAATATTGCGCAAACATCACTAATATATACTTTGAATCAATACATGTAGTGGATGTGATTAACTGTAAAATCAAAGATTGAAACTATTAGTAACAGCAACTGTAATGAAGCAGAATAAAAACAAAGAGAACACGTTAGGAGTAATAGTTTAGCCTTTTCTTATAAACCGATAATACATCACACCACTACAACTGATTTGATTTTATATCGTTTGTGGTACATAACGGACACCTTTGTCACAAACTCTTAAGAACTTAACTCAGTGCATCAAACCAATTCTCAAGTTCTGCATAATTACCTATCCCATTCTCATCTGATCATACTTTTTCACTAGAAGACATGAATTAAGTTATATGTACATCTTTTCAAGTTTCCTCAGCACATTATCAAAGTAGAACTGATAGTTTAGATAACCATACTTAAGAGGAATATGGTTTGAAAAGAACAGATGAATTCGCTGAGTAAAATGTATGAGATATTCACGAAACTGAAGATTAGGGGTAAGTGAAAGAAGTATTCAGTGATTCTGTTACACTCCAACGTCATTCAACATTTCAAGTCAATGATCATAGTTACCACACAAAACCTGTTTTATTGTCATCACTTAGCAGAACAGATCAGATCTGTAACCCCATGGATTGATGTATTGTACAAATTTGAAAACTTATAGCCTTCTTTCATTCTACTCCCATCCCAGTCAGTCTTGGATTTCAATGTTGTGGGTGGTCAGTTGAAAAATCATTCAGTTGTTTTAAACACTATCAACTGATCAATATTCGAGATATTCATGTTAAAGGAAGTTATTCAAGTGGATTGTACTCTAAGTTAATTGAATAATTAGTTTAAAGATAGCTTTTGTCATTATAATCTATGCTTTTAATTCATTACTCTAAACTAATAATTGTGTGATACACACACATTGCAAACATATAGTCAAAGTAAGAAAAATAGAAACAAACATGAAAAGTTTATTCTGTTGCTTAAGAGAAAAAATGATTGGTACGTATTAATATGACACATTTCAACAGTATCAGCTTTTCCAGTTCATAGTTTGATTAATTCCATCTTATCTGATCATAATGAATGAAGAAAGAATATAGAAGTAAGTGGTTTTCTTATGTCAAAAGAAAAAGAAATACATATATAACTTAAGTAATCATCAAGAGTGTTAAAGTATACCGATCATATATCTCTTTCGTATTATATAGTTTTTAGATCTAATGTTGTTGAAATGAAAATTCTGAAAAGTAGTAATGAATTCATATGGGAAGTGGTAGTTCAGTGTTTAAGGCGTTCAACCTTCAGTCATTAAGTTGAAAGTTTGGATCTCATTCTCTCTACTTTTGTTTGGGTAACTGAGTAGCTCATACACTTAGAATGTTAATCAAAATCAAGTATAGAAGTTTGTATTTGGTTAATGAAGTTAAAAAATAGTTAATCAGTTTACTAGGAATGATTTTTGAAATCTTAGATAGTTTTTGGCAACTGGTTATTAAAGTTATTCATTCATTTATTTCGAAGTGTAAAATTTCTCCATGTTAAAGTAGCCGCTTTTAATTGTCAGTACTCTTTATATGTATTTGATGACTGATAATTAGTGATAGAAAATGTCCTTTTCTAACTTGTTAATCACTTAATTCGATGAAATTCATTTAACAACAAAGGACTAGATAAACATAATGTCGGTCACCACTCAGTGATTAATCAATTATAAATATCTCAGTCCAGTTGGAGGTTATTCACTCTCCGAATAACTTATTGATGACATTCCAGGCTGTAAAGATGGAAGTTACGAGTTTGTAATACTTCATACAGTATTGATTCCTTCAAGGATTACAGGTACATCTTAATGATGAATGCTAACTACAATAAAACCTAGGGTCAGGATACCTTGTCTTCTACTTACAACCTCTAAACATGTATTGGAGTATTTGTAACTTTTAGTATACTGTGAGATGTTGACATTTACTCTCAAACTAAGCTTTATTAATTTGATTGTAAGTTCAAAATAACTTCCTTTTTAATCAATAAATGAATTACTTACTTACGCCTGTTACCCCTCGTGGAGGAGCATAGGCCGCTCACCAGCATTCTCCATCAAACTCATCCTGGGCAATCCTTTCCTGTTGTTATTCATCCTATTCATATCTGCTTATTCCTTCAACTTCCAGGGCAGAGTTTAAATGGTCTGAATTACTTTTTCTGGTTAGCGTTTTTTAGCGAGTTAGTTTTTCTACGGTATGGGGTCGCTAACCCCATGCCCAACCATCCTCCTTTATGCGGGCTTGGGACCGGCAGTACCTCTAGAAGAGCTACAGGCGGAGTTAATAAATGAATTACTCCTTCTAATTTCCCCCATATTTTTTTAATGAATGGATATAAATTTTATTAGAGGTCAACATTAAATTTTAATCTTACTTGGATTGAAAAACTTCAAGTGAACTCATTACTTTCTGCCTTACCGGTAAAGGAAAAAAATCTTTTTTTACATGACAACTATATCGTTGAAAATTACAGTAATATGAAGATTATTCTATAAAAAAATTCTTTTTATTACATACCATAATCAATAAAGTTTAGTTCGAAAAGACATTAGTAACTAGAACAAAAAACATATTTACCATAATAATTAAGATTGATTCATAGTTATATGTTGTTATTATTATTTAAACACATAAATATTGGTACAAGTAAGCACCAGATATATAGGGTGCCATACCTGGATCCTTTGATCCAAAGATCTGATCCACAAGGCAGTGGAGTATCGTAAGGAGATGCAGTCTCATGGTAGACGGTGACCAACGATTGATTCATACGCCATTTGTTCCCTCAGGATACTGGAGCCCATGTGCACTATATGTTGTAGATTGAATCAGAAAAATAATGGGAGAAGTGATTGAAGTTGCAAGTGATAGTGAATAGACAATGAAGAAAAAAAGATAAACTAGTGATAATCAAGGCATCTGTTTAATATAATATTAAAGTTAAAGTCTTGTGTGAATGTCAATGGGATTTATAAACCATAATGAAAAAATAGTGTTACTGACAAGCATTAAAATAATACATCTTACTATGAGAATAAGAAGTCTACCACGCCTTCCTTCTGTTTGTAAAGGTCAGGTCAAAAGTACTTGGTGGCAATTATTTATTATTGTTATTATTTATTTAAACACATAAACATTGATACAATGAGGCACCAAATAGATATGCGCCACATAAATCATTCCATTTGTGTGAGGGCTGGGATACTGTCCAGGTGCCAAATATATATTAGAATATTAAAGATTCCCATTGTGAAAATTAGAACAACATATGTAAGCGAACAATTGTTTTCAATTAGATCGTCATCATGCTTTACTCTAATATACATGAATATTTATATGAAAATGTTAGACAAATCAAGGCTATTTGAGTCAATAATCACAATGAAATAGAATACGTTACCAAGCATAATAATAGTTAAAAGTACAAGTTGATAGTGGGAAGACAAGTGTACCGATAGTAGTAAATTACGATAACAAAAGTCTTATCAATAACTAAACATTGAGAACGTGGGTAGCTTGAGAGTATTCTCTATTCTTACCGGTCATGTTTCACTGCCATAAAGTAGGACAGAACGAACTGCTGCACAGTAAACCCGATGACAGTTCGCCGTAAGCTCTAACTCGGCCAGTTGCGTTCGAGTAGAAAGCCTTTATAAGGTTAATGTACTTCTTCGTACTTTTTTCAATGATAAACCCTGCCATAGAACCTTACGATCAACGGAGTCAAATGCCGCCTTAAGGTCGAGAAATACTACGATTTCGGGTCGTGGGTAAATAGACTGAAATAGTAATCACAAAACATTAAAATCATTACGTAATAAGAAGTATGTAAGTAAATAGATAGTGAAGAATACAAACGGAAAGAGGTAGAAAATTACAAACAAACAAAAAATGATAACCAAAATAAAATTTTTACAAATAATAATAATGTCATTTATTAAGTTATGTCCGGCCATAGAAGGGATAGGGGGGT